TCGAAGATAGCCAACTGGCGCCTGCCGCCTGGTTTCTTCCGTGAGGGATTCTTTCTTGGTGTGACTCTGGTGGGTTGTGGTGTGAAGCTGGTCTTTTGGATTGCGCGCGAAGCGTGCGGTTCCAAAAAGCCAGTCTTTGATATTCCGCTTCGCGGAAGATGTCTCTTCTGTCTATATAACATGGAGAGAATGTTTGAAGGTGCAACATCCTTCAGTCAAGACTATTGTCATCCTGGAATGTTTCAAAGGTCATCGATGTGCGAGGGATGCGTTTGCGGATGCATCGTCCTTTAACAAAGACCTATCACCATGAGATGTTTCTGCTGTAACACAAATGGATCGAATGCTGTTCACCAATGCATCATCCTTCAAACAAGACTTGTCGTCCTGGAATGTTTCGGCTGTCAGAAGCTCGGAGCGAATGTTTGCAGGAGCTATTGCTTTCGATATATCTAGCGTGTGTGTCTCGAGTGCGACGCTTGGAAAGAAAGTGTTGCCTACTGTACTGAAAGTTCAAGTCCAACCGATGCCCCGACGTTGGAATCGTCATCATCAAATCCAACCATTATAAATAATCATGAAAGCCAAAGTCCTACACATGCCCCGACATCCAACGAGACAAGTGCAACAAATGATTCGCGGGCGATGGATTCCAGCGCAACGAAGAATACACACGCTTTGCTCTTTTCAATCTATTTGTTCTTGTTCCTCCTACTCTAATAAGCTTGTTCCTAAGTTACTAATGAGGATTGAACATAACTTATACTCTTGGCGGTGGTATAGCGTTGATATCCAGCACTTATTCCTAAGTGGTGACCAAAGAAGCATGAGTATTGCAATATAATGCTACACTAAACAATAATAAAAAGGCCTTTTCTTTATATATAGAAAGATTAAAGCGTATTTTTCCCTTCGCAGATGCTAGTCTGATCAGGTTCAAACGGTATCCTAAAAAGTCGACGACTGACTCGCGACCTCCTCATATCTCAGCAACTTCTTTTTCATCATGTGCACCCGCAAATACTCAAATTTCCTGTCAATTCACTGGAAAAAGTCAAGCCCTCTCAGGTAGAAACGCCAGTCTCAGCTGGTGCGAACATGGGATTGCCGCTTTTCTCTCTCGAAATGAGGACAACACTGGCAAGAATTCCAGCAACAGCCAAAGCACCAGCAACAGATAGACCAATTACAACTCCAGAACTAGGCCCTTCCTCCTCATATGCAGCAGCAGCAGCAGCGGCGGCAGCCTCTTCCTTGGCTTTCTGGTCCTCCCAGTAAAAGGCAGAACATTCGAAGAACGAACCTTTGCCGCAAAAGTAGTCATTCTTGCAGGCATCGTACCAAGCGTTGCAGTAAGACTTTTTGATAGGCATCTTGAAAAGCTGCCACTCATTGTAGTCAGGGTCATCAAACTGATCCTCTTTGAACTTACGATAAAGCCCAGCGGAAGGTTCGCATTCGTACAAGCAAGCTTCCTGAACAAAGAAACGCTCACAAGCTTGACTCATGGGTCCACAACGGTCCCACTCAAATCCAGGTCCGTATGCGGCATTCAAAGCTGAGCCGGACTCGACTGTGTCGCTGTTGCAACAAGCGTTGTTTTGCCAAGGGTGGCATTCGCTCATGTTGTCATCTTCTGGGCTGGGAATCTCCTTGTGAAAATAATTCAAGTGGCATTTATCTGGGGTTGAAGAATTGCCATGGATCTTGGCAGTCACTTCGTTGTTCGGGTTGGTGTCATGATCGAAGAACCACATGGTGTAGCCCATGCTCTCGTCATCGACAACCGTGAAGGAATCCTCCCACATTACCTCACACAATTGAGTTCCATCGGCGTAGATGTTCTTGAACTGGGTGCAACTCTCTTCCCAGGCGGATGCCGCCGGGATGGTGCAGAGGCCAATCACAATGGTGGCTGAAAACTTCATGATGTTTCTGTTCGGTTCCAACTTTGTGGACAACGTTGACAGATGAATTCTGTGGCTGTTGTTGTTGTTTTGTGTGGAAAGCAGAGGAAAATGGATCTTTTTTCGCGAAAAAGATATGTGTGGACACAGACAAAGGTTGAAGGTGTAGATATTTAGGCGTCATCACATCACTCTCAGCCTTGCCACAACGAGGAGGGCCAGAATTGGTCACACTTCTCTGTGACTCACCCATCTGAGGGGTTCGCTTCCGGCGGCCTTTCATTTTTTTTGTCAGCGGACAGGCGCAAAATTCATGCAAGCTGGTACCGGTATACGGTACGGTACGATACCTGGTACTTGGTACGCACGCTCTTGGCTCTTCATTACTGCTCCATGGGTAATACCCTGCGCAGCTGGTACCAGGACCGCAGTACCTGCGGTGCTCTCTACAGACCGTTGCTTGGGCATGTGGACAGACTTCCAACATACCGGTACTTCCAACAGACGTCGAATAATCTTACGGCCCTTTCAACACAAGACACTTTTGATACTCTAGTCGATACTAGTTACACAGTATTCCAGACCTAACCAGCCATCATTGGCCCTTTTAAGTGCTCCAATCGTCATTGAATATTTCAGTCCAAAATAAAATGTTCCTCGGCCAAAAAATCACTATTATATTTTTTAATGCTCACAATTTCATTTTCAACTGATATCAAATCCCTTCATTTTTTATCTAGGTGAAGTCAGACTGCGACACAATCTGACGATGGTTATCATGGTGCTCAAGTAAGCTCAAATATCGATTAACCGGTTGAGATAATCCTTCCCATACTCCTATGGCTGGGGAACATGGTAAGACGAAACGACGTGGCGGAATATGACTTGGGGTGGCTACGCAAAGGGAAATATGGTAGTTTCCAAAAATCGATTATGTCCTGGTTTTTGTTTCTATACTGCCTTTGCAGTTATCTCTAGCCCACCGCAGCACAGTTCATACTCTTACTCTAATGTATTTACTATAGATTGGTAATGAACGTTATTGCTTGAAACTTGTAGGTTTCTCCGCAATCCATTTTTTGACCCATGAAGAAAACCGCAAAATCGACTTTGAAAAATTCCCCAAACGTGACCGTGGCGGAGTGGTTTTGGGGCGTTGCTTCCACGAAATGAGGTTAGGGAGCTTGTTTCATCTCGACGTAGGCTTAAATCTTTCTAATAGACGGGAAGGATATTGCCAATACTCACAGTTTCAAGTTCGTGTATACAATGGTCGAACCAGTCGATTGAAATCGGAAGAACGAATTTGATCACACTTTTCTGGACAACAGCACACGGCCAAAAAGGGATACACTTGCAAATCACAAATGACGACGAATGACCTATATAGTACAGTACAAGTGGTATTTGTTCATGCCAGTACTCGTATAGCATCAGTATTGTACAGACGTGTGTGTCTCGAGTGACGCTTGGAAAGAAAGTGTTGCCTGTACTGAAAGTTTAAGTCCAACCAACAATGCCCGATAGGTGATTTGCTGGCGATGGATTCCAGCGCAAAACGAAGAATACACAAGCTTGACTCTTTTCGGTACAGTTGCTACTGCTCTAATCTGCTTGTTCCTAAGTTACTAAGAAAAAAATGAACAATACTTTTCGTGGTGGTGGCGTGGCGAAAAGAGTTGCCCGTTTGTGGTAGCGTTAATATTCAGCACTTATTCCTAAGTGGTGACCAAAGAAGCATGAGCATTGCAATATAATGCCTTTCCTACACTAAACATTATAATAAAAAGGCCTTTTCTTTATATATAGAAAGATTAAAGCGTATTTTTCCCTTCGCAGATCCTAGTCTGATCAGGTTCAAACGGTATCCTAAAAAGTCGACGACTGACTCGCGACCTCCTCATATCTCAGCAACTTCTTTTTCATCATGTGCACCCGCAAATACTCAAATTTCCTGTCAATTCACTGGAAAAAGTCAAGCCCTCTCAGGTAGAAACGCCAGTCTCAGCTGGTGCGAACATGGGATTGCCGCTTTTCTCTCTCGAAATGAGGACAACATTGGCAAGAATTCCAGCAACAGCCAAAGCACCAGCAACAGATAGACCAATTACAACTCCAGAACTAGGCCCCTCCTCCTCATATGCAGTAGCAGCAGCAGCAGCAGCAGCAGCGGCGGCAGCCTCTTCCTTGGCTTTCTGGTTCTCCCAGTAAAAGGCCTCACACTCGAAGAACGAACCTTGGCCGCAAAAGTAGTCATTCTTGCAGGCATCGTACCAAGCGTTGCAGTAAGACTTTTTGATAGGCATCTTGAAAAGCTGCCACTCATTGTAGCCAGGGTCATCAAACTGATCCTCTTTGAACTTACGATAAAGCCCAGCGGAAGGTTCGCATTCGTACAAGCAAGCTTCCTGAACAAAGAAACGCTCACAAGCTTGACTCATGGGTCCACAACGGTCCCACTCAAATCCAGGTCCGTATGCGGCATTCAAAGCTGAGCCGGACTCGACTGTGTCGCTGTTGCAACAAGCGTTGTTTTGCCAAGGGTGGCATTCGCTCATGTTGTCATCTTCTGGGCTGGGAATCTCCTTGTGAAAATAATTCAAGTGGCATTTATCTGGGGTTGAAGAATTGCCATGGATCTTGGCAGTCACTTCGTTGTTCGGGTTGGTGTCATGATCGAAGAACCACATGGTGTAGCCCATGCTCTCGTCATCGACAACCGTGAAGGAATCATCCCACATTTTCTCACACAATTGAGTTCCATCGGCGTAGATGTTCTTGAACTGGGTGCAGCTCTCTTCCCAGGCGGATGCCGCCGGGATGGTGCAGAGGCCAATGACGACAATGGTGGCTGAAAACTTCATGATGTTTCTGTTCGGTTCCAACTTTGTTGACAACGTTGACAGATGAATTCTGTTGTTGTTATGAAGGTGATTTCGTCCGGTGTCAAGAAAATCAAGAAAATGGATCTTTCTTCGCGAAAAAGATATGTGTGGACACGGAAAGAGGTTGAAGGTGTAGATATTTAGGCTGTCAGTACATCACTCTCAGCAACCCCGCAAACAAAAGATATTTAGCTGGACGTATTTTTGGGTGACTCACCCATCTGAGGGGTTCGTTTCCGGCGGCCTTTCATTTTTTTTGTCAGCGGACAGGCGCAAAAAAATGAATACTGTACGCTTTTGGAAGAAGAAAAAATAGATTTCACCGTTGTCCCTACTATAAGCTTCTTACGCAACTAAAGAAGATGGAGCATTTCAATACCATCCCACATTTGAACGTGTATTATTTGTATCTAGGATGGACGATGCTCATACTGTATACTTCTGCGGTAAACAACATAGCAATTTTGTCATTTTCAAGCTGATTCAGTACCCTTTATACTCGAAGAAGTCAATATGATTTTGCCAAAATCTTCGATTTATTGATGAGATATACATTATTGCGACACGACGAACAGCATCAAACACTTCCTTTGCAATAGGAGCCTAACATGAATGAAAGATTCAGTACAAAGAGACGGACTCTACATCATAAGCCAAGAATATTCATCATTTTCACGTTATTCCAATTCACACTCATCAGCAAAAGAAGCCCTAGTACGACATTTGTCCAAGCAACCTCTCATCATCATCATCATCATGGCTCTCATTCCTACAATAATTATGCACGCGCCGCTTCCCTAGCATCGGAGCATGCTGCACATCAAGAACGTCAAAGTCGGCAGCGTTCTCACAAACCAAGGCAACAGCAGCAACGCAACAAAAAGAAAAAGACCATGGAAGAAGGGATTCAAAATGCCAAGAAATTCCAAAAGGTTGTCTTGGAGGAAGTGGACGACATTATTAGTGAAGAACAGGAAAGTGATGTTTATTTGCCGAGTTTGAATAGTGACGAAGACGAAGACGACGACGAAGAAGAAGATTCATTGTGGGGGGTGGCAACGTCTGGATTCGAGAAAGATGAGAGTCATGATATTGCTAACAGTGGGATCGAGGATTCGGGAAATAAGGATTCCAGTCGACGACGAAGAAAACGAAGACGGAAGCGACATTCAACAAAAAATGACAGACCATCGGAAAAATCATCTCCTTCCATGGCACCCACATCGTTGCCTCCCACAACTGAGAATCAAGATCAAAGTGGTGATGATGACATTGACTCACCATTTTCATCCGCAACATCTAATACGATTGATCCATCACTGATTGTTGGCAAGACAATCTTGGACAACAACTTTTACATTTCCAATCAGGTCCGTGTCGGGAGTACCAAGAGTGAACTCTATCACTGTTACCCTGTAACTTCGAGTTCTCATTTAGAAGAGAAATATCAAAAGCACCCACCCTTCATGATCAAACTTTCGCAAAATGTTGAACAAATGATATTGGAGTATCGGATTCACAAGGACTTGTATTCTCGACTATCACCCGAGCAACAGGATCTATTTATTATGGTTTACGATTGGATACCGGCCTCGGATATTACACATCAGCGAGTCGGATTTCTCATGGAGGCGGGTTTGGAAAATTTACGAGGCATTGTTTGGAAACATGGACCGATGCAAGGACAAACATTGAAAGAAGCCATGATGTCTATCATATTAACCATTCAGGTACTTCATCAATTGGGAACCATTTGGACCGAAGTAAAAGCGGAAAACTTTGTCGTCATGCGGGATGGTAAAATTAAGGCGATTGATCTGGAATCCGTGACTGCGCATGGGGAATTCCTTCGATGCTACACGGCCGAGACCTATCCGCCTGAATTTCCGCCTGATTCGCTTTACAATGAAATTCCGCAAGTACCCCTGGACTATTCCTTTGACATTTGGGGACTTGGTTTGGTTCTGTTGGAAATGGCAATAGGAGAACCTCTCTTTACCTTGCACCATACCTATGATGTAGACTATGTGCGAGAACGGCTGAAGGACCCACAAGGAATAGTAAACCAAGCAAGACAACGGTTGGAACATATCGACTATCAAGCACGAGACGTCATTTTACAATGTTTGGTGGTGGAACCTACAAAACGAAGCACTTGCGAACAACTATTGAATCATGAATACTTTCAAAATTAGAAAAATGCTATTATTAAGCATCGAACACTTCTGTTTCCCCACGTTTTCCCAAGGCCTTCAAAATTGTGTCCTTTTGAATCTGAATTATTTCCCGTAATTTTTCATTCTGCATAATCATTTTGGATTGTTCACGGTCACGTGATTCCTGTAGGGCTGCAATCTTTGTTTCCATAGTTTGCATCTGCCTCTGCTGGGCGTTCATGAACATCTGCTGCTCCTTTATGAGTTTGTTGGTTTCCTCTAGTGACTCCTTCATTTTAAATCCTTCTTCTTCTTGCTCTCGGCATTTCAAAGTGATGGCACCCGTTCCCTTTTCCAATGACTCGCATTTTCGAGTCAAACTTTCCACAGAGTCTTTGTATTCCAAAATGGTCAGATCCTGTGTGGCAACTTGCATCCTATGGGCCCCAGTCTCAAGTTGCTGCTTTTCGAGGTCTTTTTGCAACGTGGATAACTGTGACTCCAACAAACTCACTTTTGTAGCAAGCTGTTGGCGGTTTAGGTTCTCTTGTTTGGCAGCGGCAATCATGGCATTCTTGCTCATGGTAGGGTTGCTCTCCATCATCGTCTGTTGTTCGTTTGATGGAGAGGCAATTAGCCTCAGTATGTCCATCAAGAATTGGTAGTCAGTTGACTGCAACTGCACATGACCATCCGATTCATTTTTTGATTCGGTAGGTTGGGAAGGTGCCTTCTCACTGTTATCAACCGCTGCTAGTGGCGAAGTCGTAGCTTCAAGATTTGGCTGCGCATCTTGCTTTGCCACCAGGCCGTCCCCGAGATCATTGGTGGTTGGAGGAACGTCCGGTAATGATTTCTTCGTCGTCATTCCTGGTGGTGCTGGCGTCAGTAACAAGTCGCCCATGTTTTGTAGTGTCCCCTCAAGGGCGCCAATCTCATTGGAAAAAATATCATCAAACGTGCCATCATCACTTTCTTCTTGGAATAGGTCAGCATACTTGGGCCTGCCATCCTCGGCAGGTCCATGAGGAGGAGGTGGTGGAATATCTTCCTCCTTGCCGACTTGAGCTTCTTTCACATTGCCATTGGTATCTGGCGCTTCAGTATTGGACTCGAATGGAACCTTCTCCATGAGGCTTGCAGGCAAGACTTGGTCATCTTGTGCGCTTATTGTCGTAGGCTTTCCAGAACGGCTAGTTTTCCTGTCTTCCCCATCTAGCTTTTCCCCGTTTTCGGATCCAGGACCCGGCGAGGCACAGGAGGAGATGTCATCAAGATCTTCACTTGATCCTTGAAATGATACAACGGCCGGGACTACTCCAGCTTCTGCAGATTCGCTTGAGCTTTCACTGGAAGTTGAACTATCGCCGCTATCGTCAGAATCACTGGAACCTGCACTAGTGTATTCATCAGAACTTTCAGAACTGTGTCCGTCTGGATTCAGCGCTGATACGCGTTTCGAAAAGTCAACGTCCGCAACGGGCACCTCCATTGGAATTTCAGGGGTTTCTGTGCTAGAACTTGACATATATCCGCCACTCGACGATGTGGAGTTCTCGTCCACGATGCCATCTTGATTCTTCTCCAAACTTAGATTCTTGCTTTTGCGAGATTTCTTGGGAGGCTTGGCTTTCGCGACGTCGCCGACAGCATCACCGCTGTTCTGTTGTAGCAACGCAGCAGACTCAATTTTGCCTTCTTTGTCTCTCGTATCTACAACAATTGGCTCTAGCCAATCCTCCCCTGACTCGACATCTGGTACTCGGTTTCGAGATGGCTCCTGATAGTCGAAATCATGCTGGCTCTCTGAAGCATCCTCCATAGCTGTCAACGCATTGACATCAGATGTCTCTTTTGAGCTTCTGTTTCCCTCGTCATTTTGGACCTCGTCGACAAACTGCGTCTTGATGGAGTTATCAGCGTTTGCACCATATTCATCATCCCACACGGGCAGCGGAGTAGGGCCCTCCAGGTTCTCTCCTCTTGGGGATTTTGTTGACATGCTCTTTAGTGATAATTTCTTCAGTGTGGGTGGTCGAGGGCTTAGCATCTTCTCTCTGTCTACCTTTGCTTTCGGGTTCTCACTTGTTTTGGAACTTTTCCTACGCTCGCCTTCATTTTTATCTCTCGTATTTCTGTGTGAGTCGTCTTTCACGTCAAAGCGCACTCCATTCGATTTTTCTTTTCTGTGAGTTGACTTCTGCAAGTTTGTATGTATTAGATCATCATCAAGGCTTCTATTTGTTCTCATTGTTTCTGATTCGCGGCTTCGTCTTCGTGTATCGCTTTGTGGAGATGAGGAATTGTCGACCCGTTTGCGCCTGCCGACCCCAGCATTTATTGTATTTCTCTTTGCCGTTCTTGCCCCAGTATGCCCATGTTCACTTGTGTGCAGAAGGAGTGAATTATTGTGCTCCTCCATTTTGTCACGCCGTTTCCTCCTTGACGCTGCGGTCCGATGTTCGCTTTGAATTGAAAGTCCAGGCTGTTCGACACCCTCATCCCAGCTTCCCCGTATTTTCGGTTTCCATCCCGTAGACCTTAAGCTACTGTCCAAACCAGTTGCCCGTCCAGTGGATCTCATACTGGAGTCCAAGCTAGACCTGGTACTGGTCTCTAAATCAACCGTTGCCGCAAAATCAGCAGTAAGCCTTGGCCGCATCGACTGGCGTTGCCGCCCACCAGTGTCGGTTTGGTTTCGTGCTGAGGAACGGTAGTTATTGCTCGGAGTAGCCGGTGATGACGACTGAGAAAAGTCGCCTGTCCCCTTTGGAAAAAGTGTCTTTCTTTGGCCCAAAGCGATGTCAGTCTTCCTTCTCTCTCTCCGTTGGCTACTCAGCCCAAGTTTTTGGCCATCGAATACCTTTTGATCGCCAAGCGGCGAAGGGCTTACTTGGAACTCTTCCGAGTCTCCTTTTCTTTTGCCCTTTCGGCGCTCCCTTGGTGTTCTCCCAGGCATTTTTTCATCTTCATCGATCTCAGGTATTGTTTCGCCACTAAGCTCCTTTTGAAGAGGCATAAAGGGGCGAATGCCATCGTTTTGCTGTTCTTCCCCTTCCAATGGCTTCGGCCTCCGCGACATTCGTCTACCTGGAGACGATGATTTCCTTTGATCTGAAAGTCTGCTTTCCCTGGTTGGTAGGTCCGATTCCTCAGCCCGCCGGTTACGAACCGCAGCACTTTTCCGACCACCTGAGACTCTAGGTTTTACAACAACATCGTCTGACCCCATCAAAGGAAGAGCCCCAGGGAAATCACTTAACTCATCGATACTTGGATTGGTACTATCTGTTGAATTTTGTAGCTTCAGCTGAAGTTGTTTCTGTAGCTCTTCTTGGCGTCGTCGTCGCTGTTCTCGTCGCTCCTGAAGCTTTAGATCGGTCTTTCGTGCAAGATCGACCTCTTTCTCTTCCTCCTTTTCTTCTACTGTGAAATTGGAAAGTGATGTAGTTCGACGACTATTATTAGGAGACTTGACAAGAACTGGCGATGACATTTTGATCTCCCCAATATGAGACGCTAGATCATCGCTGTCGAATTCAGTTGTATTGCCTTCATCCGTCTTGCTCTTAAACATGGCTAATGTGCTCATCCGTTTCGATGTTGGAGTTAGCGATCCAGCCGACTTTCGAAACTTTGTCGTTGGGGATGGCATAGAAACTGCATCTTTGCCTTTCTTACGAAGTGTTGATATCGATTGCCTTAAGTTCACCATCTCGGCGGAGCCTCAAGCTGACTCTTGAGGTGCTAAAGTTAATTTTAATCGTCGTTAATGATTTTTCCTTGAGCAAGATGATGCTACGCTATGGTGTCTGATTCTCAGATAATGCCGTATTCATTGACTGACTCGTATGGGTATGCGTTGAAATTTTCGGCGGGACATATTCATAAAAAACATCAAGTCGCGGTCATTCATTCGTATCAGTCATAGCGGCTAGGACATACTTTAGAGCTCAAATACTGATCGTTAATGACTGCTATTATTTACAGCATGCCCTTGAGTGCTGCTTGAATGCTCTCCTTCTGAATCTTTACCATTTGCCGGAGCTTGGCATTTTCATCTTTCAGCTCTTTAAGCTGTTTTTTATTGCTCGATTGTTGAAGTGCAGAAACTTCTTCCTCTAAAGTTCGGATGATATCCACTTTCTTAGCTAGTACACTCTCACGCGCGGAGGCTGCTTGCTTCATCATATCAATGATCCCCAGTAGTGCAGCGTTCTGGTCGACTTGTTCATTGTATTTTCCCAAAACCATGTCATAATCTTCTTGAAGGTCTTCATTCATCCCCTTGTATGTCTCGAGTTGATCCTCCTGATCAGTTGATTTAGTCTCCCAGACTTCAGCTTCTTTTTCCAGCCTTTCCCTCGCCCTCTGCTGCTCATTAAGTTTCTCGTGCAATTCATTCAATTGTTTCTGCATGTCCACCAATATTATCTCTACGGGTGGCCCAGCTTTCAATCCTGGAGAGTACTCAAGTTGGCGTTCTTTTTTGTTTATCCTTCTTCCATCGCCAACTGAAGGAATCTGCAAGAAGTCTTTCGGCAGTGTGGTGGGCGTGCCGAAAACTTTCGAAGTGTCATCTTCTATGAAAACAGTCTCAGGAATCTGCAAAAAGTCTTCGGGAAGAGTGGTGGGCGTGCCGAAACCCTTCAAAGTGTCATCCTCTATGAAGCCAATATTTTCCGCAGCTTTCGGAATCTCCAAGAAGTTTTCAGGAAGAGCTGTCGGCGTACCGAAATTTGTTGCAGCTGATGTTTCTATCGTAACGACGGCGGCACCAGAAAAGGGATTCTCGATTTGTCCTACCGCGTGTTGCTGAGTTTCGTCGGGTTGACTCTCGGCTAGCTCTTCAGGGACGCTAGTGCTCGAACCTGATTCAAGATGGGTATTGGAGTCCAGTTTAGAGTCAAGTTTATAATATTTGTCGTCTTGTGTAAGCCTTGCCGTTTCCTCTTGGTGCTCCCTTATCAACTTCTCTTGCATTTCTGCCCCTCCCACAATTTCATCTTCGTCAAGACTAAGATGCTCGAGCATCAGCTTCATTTTTTCTTCTTTCTCTTTCTCGATTTCAAGCTTTCTATTCGATGGACTTTTCAATGAATTTGGGGACATCAGTTTCTCTGAGAAGCTCCTGAAACTTGACAAGAGTCCACCAGTGGCCTGGCTATCTTCTGTTTGAATCGCGTCGCCACCATGTCGAGATGAGACCGGACTAATTGGTTCCACTGTAGATTCTGATGCAGCACCTAAATTGTTTGATGCCATAACCGCGGCGACTGCTCCGCGAAGAAGTTGAGCTGTCGATGATGGCTCCGCATCAACTTGTTCGACAACCAAGGTATTTGACGTCATGCCTCCTGTGACCGCTCCTTGAAGAAGTTGTGCTGGTGATGATGGTAATGATGATGGTTCTTCTGTCGTGCTGTGGTTGGATTCCGGGTCCGCTTGAAGTAAGATATCATTCTCTGTGTCTGTAGCATTGCAAGCCCTGGCGTTCCCTTCATCCTCCTTAGTGTTTTTGGATTGTTGGAGATCTTCAACAACGACACGCTTCTCTGGCTCAGTTACATTGTTAGCTTTGGCGTGTTCCTCTTCATCACTAGCTTCATCTCCCTTCATTTGTTCAGGGTGCTCGCCACCAAAATTGTTTGACGTCATGACAGCAGTGATGGCTCCGCGAAGAAGTTGAGCTGGCGATAATGGCTCGTCGTGTCGGACCTCTTGTACAGCGATACCATTCTCTGGCTCGGTCGCATTGTTATCCTTGGCATGTCCCTCGTCATCACTAGCTTCATCTCCCTTCACTTGTTCAGCAGCAAAAGTGTTTGACGCTATGACAGCGGTGACTGCTCCACGAAGATTTTCATCTGGCGATGATGGTTCATCATGATTTTTCGGACTCTGCATTGTACAGCCGTCCACAGCTGTAGCGACAGCTCCACGAAGCTGTTGGGATGGTGATGGTGGCGAATCATCTTCCACTGGTGATGGTTCGGCTGTATCTCTTGACAGTTCGGTTTCTTTGGAACGTTTGCCCTCGTTATCTTGGACTGCTTCCCCGCCGAAGAATTTCTTGACATTTGAAAATAAGGGATTTTCTATGGATTCTTCCGAATAAGTGTCTTGACTTCTCGTATTTGACGATTTGTTGTCATTTGTTTCTGGTCCACTTTCATCGCTTTTTTCAACATTGATATTATCGCCGGCAGAAAGCTCTGGACTCTTACTTGCTGCGACTGCTTTTGTTTCAGCCAGTGCTGTTGTGTTTGCCGATTCGGGATCATGTTCATCATCCTCTGGTGCTTCTTGAACATTACCTTTGTCGGTTGGATTGAGAACTGTATTGGGTGATTTTGTCTCCTCGCTGCTCTTTCCGCTTTTCAAATCTTCGTTGTCAGCTGAATTTTTTGCAGAATGGTTTGCCCCGTCGTCCCCCTGGGTCTCAGATCCAAAGAGCCTTTTGAAATTCGAAAAAAGGCCTCCGATTTTCTCACCACCTTCTATTACATCTTTCGATTCTTTCTCTTGGGTATCGTCGCCATGCATCGATTGCTCTTTCGACACTATATCTGTATCCTCTGCAACAAGCGAATCAATGGCAGCGATATCGCCTTCAGCGTTACTTTGCGATCGTAACAAGCCCGGATTGGTGGCTTTGTTGCCGGTACTGCGGTTGCTATTGCTGCTGATGCTGCTGTCGTTGCCACTACTGCTGCTGCTGCTGCTGTCTTCAGAGGCTGTGACATTGTCGGAACTTGTAGCATAAGGCGACTTCGGTTCTGCTTGGTCTTTGTCTTGCTTTGGCTCGTCAACGGAATCCATAGGGGCGCCGCAAATATCAGCAGCAAGAGCTTCCGTTGCTTCGTTAACGGTTTCCTGCTTAATTTCAGCTTGTAACGAACCTTTGCCTAGACTTTCATCCACAATGCCTGCATCTTGGTCGTTATCCAATTCCGAATCAGAGTTGTGAGATGATATTGATATGTTCTCCTGGTGGCCATCACCCAAGTCCGACGTCAAGTCTTCAACAATGCGTACATTTTCATTTTCAATTTGCTGTGTTTCCATTGTATCAGGTTCTGTTTCATTCTTGGGTGGTACCTCTCCACTGGTGCTTTCAACCATGTCATCAGTCGTCTCGTCTTCATTTTGAGATGTATCACTTGGCAAAATGTCTGATTTATTGTCTTGTCGCATCGTTGCGAGATTTGATTTGGGTGCGATTAGATTTAGAATTTCCTTGGGTGATTCACGTGCCTCAGATTCGTCGCTTTCCCAATCAGATTCCACTGAGGATTGGTCGTTTTCATTGGGTACCGGTAGATTAGATGTATCAAGCGTCAGCTCGATTGACGGTTCCTTGGCGATATCTTCGCCCTTTTTCTCTTCCTTTTCAGACATATCACTTTCCCAGCGGTCAGGTTCGACTGAGGACTGGTCGTTGTCATATTGATGGTTTGATGCAGAAGGGATAGGTTCGGTTGGGGATGTCTCGGCCACTTTTCCGGGCACTTTACCGCCATTCTCTTCCGTATCACTTTCCCAAAAGTCAGACTCAACTGAGGATTGATCATTGTCATGGTGAGTTTCTGCTGGAGGAGCTTTGTCTTCGATCTGTGGTTCGGTATGTGAGGTAGCAACTTCCCTAGTTGCTTTCTCTTTCTCGGATGTGTCGCTCTCCCACGATTCGAACGAGGAATCGTCGTTATCATTTGATTTCTTTTCAAACACCATGTCACCGTGCTGAGGATCATTGAAAACCCCTTCTGAAACTTCCCCGTCTTCTCCTTCCGTGTCGGTTTCAAATTCATACAAATCAGGATCAACTAGGAGTTGCTTTTGTTCGTCACCTTCATCTCCCGCGACAACATCGGTCTCAACAATATTGGATTGAATGTTTGTATCAAGACTCTTTACTCTTTCATTTTCATCCGGAAACTTCATCAGAATTATGTTCAAATCCAAGGTCTCTTGTACAGTCCGTTGGATGTCTTGTAAGCTTTGAAACGACGCAATATCCTTCTCTTGGAGTTGCAAAACTCGCTGGCCCACTTGAATCCCGGTGGTTGCTTGGAACTTTGAATCGATGTCTTGAATAAGAATTGAGCCGTTGTCGTCTTGGGTCAAATGAAAAGGAACTGGTTGGTCGACGGCAACCCTGGTATAGCAAGCCAAAATCGTGTTTTCAGTTGCAACATTGGATGGCGAGATGCAGCGACCTTCTATTTGCGAGGCACTTGGATTCGGATCTTCTGTTTTCCCCTTCTCGACAGCTTGGTGACTCGTCTTTGGATCATTGTCCGCCATAACATCAACTTCCTCGACTAACGATGGGTTGAACTCGGACTTTCTCTTGGACTTCTTCTTGTTCGATTTCGGTTTGTCCTTTCCTTTTCCTTTTCCTTTTCCTTTGCCTGTGCTTCTGGTGCTTGCTGCTAGATCTTCTACAGGAAAAGCATCTGGAATCTCTGACGATCTCTTTTTCTTCTTTTTCTTTGGCTTCACCTCTCCTTCACCCCCATCTTCAATAGCAACAGCATTCATGCTGTCGGCACCATCCATAGGTTTCGACTTTTTCTTTTTCTTCTTTCTTTTCATTCCGTCTTCAGAAGGCATTGGCTCCACATGTACTGGCTCATTGCCACCATATTCATCGTGAAAGACTTCTGCTTGTTTTGGTTTCTTTTTCTTCTTTCGTTTCTTGCCATCGGGAAATTCTGGAGCAGTAGCATCGGCTTGACGCTCGGAAGTCTCCAAGGTAGATTTCCTTGTCTTTTTCTTCTTTTTTGTTTTGACACCTGCACCATCGCCTTCTTCGTCCATCAAAGATTCCAATGATGACTTCCTTGTCTTTTTCTTTTTGCTTTTTTGTTTGCCATCACCAATACGCTCTTGGGTTGCGTCAAACTGGCTGTCCAAAGCCTTTAGGAAATCATCAACTTCAATGTTGGATTCGGCGCTTTCATTTTCTTCCGAAATCGCCGTCTTGCCCTTCTTTCGTTTCGATTTCTTCTCACCGAAACTCTCGTCGTCGTCGCTACTGGAAATGCCTTCATTCTTGCCCTTCCGGGGAATTGCAACACTGATGGACTGACGCAACTTCTTAAAGACGCTTTTACCAGTTGACTTTCCCTTCCTGTCACTAGTTTCATCACGGAAGGACTCGTTGATGTCATTACTAATCGATGATGGTAATGACATGTCGTCATTATAAATTCCTTCATCTACATCATGAAGAGAGCTTCCTGCTTTTGTTTTTCTTTTGAAAGGAAATCCTTTCTTCAACTGTGAGCTGATTCGTTTTGTATTCATTTCAACGATCAATAAGAGAGACAATAGGAAAGGACGATCTGTTGACTGCAACTAGCTATGCAGAAGAGATGGATTTTAAAGTGACCACCGGTTTGTTTTTCAACGTATCATATTTTATTACTCGATGTGAGATGCCTTCACCTGTCCGTTGAGCGTTGTGTCATAATTTTTGTTAACGAATGGATGTCACATCAGACATGCAAATACATTATTAGACGTTGACAGTGTCTCATTTTGCCATCCGAAGTGAGCTTTCAAACAGGCTCTGCTTTTGTAGGTTTATCATTCCCCGAAGCCTTTCGTTCTCAGCCTCTAGTGCTGAAAGTATTTGGCTTTTCTGTGCCTTTTGCAGTATTGACAGTTGTTCCTCCAATACTTGGATGCGATCCGTTTTCTCATGCAGTGCCCTCTCGTCCTGAAGCGCCACATGCTTCATTTTCCCGACGAGACCCAAAAGTACTGCATTATGTTCGACTTGATCATTGTACTTGCCCAATAGCATATCAAAATCTTCTTGCAGATCCTCAAACATTCCCTTGTACACGGCGATTTGCTCGATTTGCTCGATTGAGTTGGACTTGTGTTCCGCAACTGATTTTTTCAGCCGTTTGGTCTTTAGCTTTTGTTGTTCAAGTTGCTCGTGCAATTGTTCCACTTCTTGTCGCAAGATTGCAGATTGGTCTTCGTCATAAATGATGATTGTGTCTGAAGCAACACTATCATCGGTGCTACACAAAACGTCCTCCGTAGCCGGTTGAATGTCATCGTTGACATTCTCTTGCAAAGAGCTCTCTTCCACAGTTTCTTCGATTTCAGCCTTGGCTTCTTGATCTGAGTCTGAAGCGAAAAACTCACTTCCACTATCGCCACCAAGCTCTCCAACTGCCGAAACATGGTCAACTTGAATGTGTTCTTGTACCTCATGCACATCACCACGATCGCGATCACTTCCAAGTTCCTCCACTGTTGTGCCAATAAGGACTTGAAATTCCTCTTGCTCTTCATCACAAAACTCACTGTCACTATCATTTGCCACTTCATTGACTGCTGACGAACCAACCAAACTGGTTGCTAATTCCGATGCAGCATGATCGCGACTTCCATTGATGGCTTGACTGTCTGATGGATCTGAAGCTGCTCTCATGTTTCCATCATTTTCAACCTCTGCGTCTTCAACTTTCGACTCCACTGTGCATGGATTTATGTTTTTGTCTGTATTGGTAGTATCGTCATCGTCATCAAAATCATCAGACTCAGACTCAGATGTTCCATAGATAAGAGACAATGCGTGTGCGTTTGTCTCATTTAATAGACTTGAGCTTCGAATGAAGAATTGCTTTTCTATTGCGGAATTGGATTTCTCATCTTCAAATGATGCTTCTCTTTTTTCCTCCAACTCTTCAGCTCCATTCTCCGCTTCTTCCTGGTAACTTTCTCCTTCCGGTAGATTTGGTCCTCCCTCTTTTGTGGTCTGGCCGTGCTCTTCTTCGTCTTCTTCCTCATTGGTTACAGCAGCCATGGTTCCACTAGCATTTTCGACAATCTCCCTAGTAGTTTCAGCTTCGACGCCATTAGTATTGCGTTTCTTGTAAGGACTTTGTGCCTCTGGTTCATTTGGTTCCTCTTCAATCAGCGTTGGTATCAGTTCATCGCTTTTGAATGATTTCTCCATCGGACCACTAGCGTCGTCCATGTCGTGCTTCATCTCGGGAGCACTATCGCTGGAATCGGTAGTTTGTTCGTCTTGACTTTTTGCCTTCATACTTGCACCATCTTCTTCACTAGTACCACCAAGCTCGAGCTCAAGATCATCGAGAAGTGATGAGGTGAAGTCAGACTTCCTCTTTTTTTTCTTCTTTTTCAGTTTGTTCTTTCCCTTCTTTGGGCTCGAATCTAATACTGCCGCAGCAGCATCGTGAGAGACTTTGGATGACCGCTCCTTCTTCTTCTTCGTCTTGCTTGCTTTTTCTCCACTGGCCTGCTCCACTTGGTCATCAAGTTTTTCCACATCCTCCAATCCTTCGGCGACCCGCAGGGAAGATTTCCGTTTCGACTTTTTCGTTCTCTTCTTGGATTCAATAGTAGCCACCTCCCGCATATCTGGTTCATGCGCGCTTTCGCTGTACTGCTCATGAGAGACGGTCAAGGCCGATTTTCTCTTCTTTTTCTGCTTCGTTTCTGTTCTTTTTCCTTCATCTGGTTCATCTGATTGATGTTCATTTTCGCCATATTCATCATGAACAACTTGCAAGGATGACTTTCTGGTCTTTTTTTTCTTAGTTTTTGAACTTGACAGTTCGGATGGCCCTGTATCATAGTCCACTGGGCTGTCTCCGTCATCCAACAAGGACGCCCTTGATTTCTTCTTGCTGCGTCTCTTCTCCTTGACTTCTGGTAATACCTCTGAAATCAACTGATCCTGTCGCTCTAGCAAGGATTGTCTTCGCACATCTAGCACTTTCTTTTGAGGACGGCTGCTGGTTTTGATTTCGTCAATATTGCTCTCATCTCTCTTATTGTAGTTTAGCTTTATGCCGGCACTGAATGACTTGCGAAACCTTTTCATCGACATGCTGACCCTATCCTTTTTTCCCCTTTCATTCCCGGAGAGCGAAAGCCTCTTCTGGGTCGGTGAATGTGACGGGCAGAAATCGTTTCCGTTACTGCTCAGAGAAGAAGACTCCTCTGTGCCATTCAAATGCAATGGATTTTCTTTTCCTTTCATTGAAAGAGACAACGATTTTCGGATCTCACCAAAGGAGGACATAGTGAACTTGCTGTGGATGTGGAGGCACTATATGTACGAGTTGTGTTTATGACCTTTACACGCTTGGAAAGGTGTTGAGCAGGAGCTTCTGAACAGACACTACTGCGGTCGTCAGATGTGGCGATTTCGTGGAAATAGTCGAACACGCACGTACACGTGCAGTCATAAATCTTTTGATTCGCAAAGCCATTTGCGTCTAACTATGCGGCGACTGAAATGATAAAGTATGCGGTACGCAGTACCTACCGGTACGCGTATATGTCGCAGGCAGAGAATAAAATACAATAAAAAATAATTGCAGTGAATGAGAGATTTGAAAAATAAAAATCGCAGGTCATTACCGGTACTACAATTTCACCAAATTGAAAATGCCAAAGGAATACCAATCAGACATAGGGGAAAGAACAAATTTCTTAAAAGCTTAATGGGCTTTGCCTAAGCGCTTGAACCAACCCCTGTTTCTGTAAGCTTATCATTCTCCGAAGCCTTTCATTTTCAGCCTCTAGAGCTGGCAGTAACTGGATATTCTCTGCCTTTTGGAGTATTGATAGTTGTTCCTCCAACACTTGGATGCGATTCGTTTTCTCGTTGATTGCCCTCACGTACTCAAGCTCCGCATGTTTCATTCTTCCGATGAGACCTGTCTGCAGTGCATTCTGTTCGACTTGTTCGTTATACTTTCCCAGAACCATATCATAATCTTCTTGAAAATCGTCAATCATTCCCTTGTGAACAGCAATTTGATCGTCTTGCTCGATCGCATTGGACTCATGGGAGGCCACCAATTCTTCAAGCATTCGGATCTCACGCTGTTTTTCTTCAAGTTGCTCATGTAATTGTTCCACTTGTTTTCGCAAGGCTGCAGATGAGCCTTTGTCTTCAACGATGACAGTGTCTAAAGCAGCATTATCATCAGTGCCAAGAACGGCCTCCCCAGAGGATGTAATGTCGTCGTTGGCACAGTCTTCCCCAGGGTGGTTAGCAGAATAAAGATCTCTGTCGTTCGGAGATTCCGAGTTGTCCGATCCGGAATCATCCGACTCTTTGTAAAAGAAAGTTGATGCGACCGAGTTTTTCTCTTTCTTCAAAGCTTTGCTAGCTTCCACATTGTGAAGAACAATGTCACTTTCCTTACCACGGCTTTTAGTTGTGGGCACAAGCGCGGGCTGAATGTGTGGTAAATGGTCCCCAGAGTCGTTTTCAGTGTCAACATCGGATTCCGAATTGTCAGATCCAGAATCATCCGAGTCGTTGTAAAATAAAGCATTTTTGTCGGTCTTCAAGGCTTTACCGGCTTTCACATTGTGAAGAACAATGCCACTTTCCTCCCCAAGTTCTTCATTTGTGGGAACAAGCCCAGTCCGGATGTTTGATTGTGGGTGGTCAGCAGAGTCGAACTGGCTGGCATTACCGGATTCCGAACTATCTGATCCGGAAAAATCCGACTCTTGGGAAAACAACCTTGATGTGACGGCATTTTTCTCGGTCTTCAAAGCTTTACTGGCATTCGAATGGTGGACAACGATGTCGCTTTCCTCGTCATATTCTTCCTTTGTAGGAACAAGTTCAGTCTGAAAGTTTGCTTGTCTGCCGTTTTCGCCTTCCCCCACGGCCGGGGAAGATTCACCATCGCGTTCAGGTTCCTTCACGATTGTGACACCTTGGAATTGCGATTTGTCGTGTTGTTCTGCCGCATTAGAAGATGGCGCTGCTGTTGCGGAGTCGGTGTCTTGGTCATTAAGTGGCGCTTCACGATTCAGCACACCTGACTCTTTATCTTCATTTTCCGGTCTTTCGGGACTTTCTTCCTTTGGTGAACTTGGGCCTTCCTCCTGTGGATGAAGATGCCGCTGTTCTGCTTCTGCAGGCAACGTACCACTGGCGCTTTCAACAATAGTTTCAGCTTCCTTTGCATTGGTTTCTAGTTTCGCGGAAGAACTGTGCTTCGTCTCGGTAATGCTGATGCTTTCTGCGTTGAGAGCTATATTTTCTTCCGCGGCGAATTCACTAGGTTTCTTTTTTTCTGCGCCTTCGGGGCTCGAAGTATCAATTGTCTTCTTCTTTCTCTTCTTCTTTTTGAATATTGCTTGTCCACCGGCCTCCTCCACTTGATCAGGGTTTCGGGCTTCCACATCCTCCAATCCATCAGTCTCTCTCGGATCAGAAGCATCTATAGACATCATTTTTTTCTTTTTTCTTTTGATTTTCTTTTTTTCAGTGACTCCCACCGCTTGATCAAGATTTCCATCTTTCACATCGTCCAATCCATCAGTCTCGACCGATTCAGAAGTATCTAAAGACTTCACTTTCTTCTTCTTTCTTTTGAGTTTCTTTTGTTCAGAGACGCCCATGGCTTGATCCAGGTTTCCAGCTTCCGCATCCTCCACTCCGTCGGTCTTTCCCAGGTCAGAAGTATCTATAAACTTCTTTTTCTTCTTTTTCTTCATAGCTCCTCCAAGGTTATCAACGTAGCCAGTTGCATCCAGAGAGAGACTCTTTTTTTTCTTCTTTCTTCGTTTCGGCCTTGTTGATGATGGTTCGGTTAGTTCTGGACTGCTATGAAGTGAGTTGTTCAACGAGCTGTTCATGGAGGCAGCATCCAATGAAGAAGATGACTTTGGTTTCTTTTTTCTACGTTTCTTCACCCTGGTTCCGAGTGGTACTTCAGCAGTCTGATTCTGCTCAACCGGCAATCCCGCTTCACCACTATTGCCCTCATCACTTTTGTTGCTTAGCTTCGTATTGCCAATGCCGAATGGCTTGCGAAGTTTCTTCATCGAAGCACTAGCCTTGTTCTGTGCTCCCCTTTCGTTCTCAGGGAGCGAGTGCTTGCTACTGCTTATTGAAAGCGACGGGCCGGAATCATGTCCGCTCATCGAAGAAGCCTCACCCGTGTCATGCACGAGTGATGCACCTGATTTGGGCTTTCCTTTTACTTTCGAGGACATTTTTTGGAGGAATGTTGAGCCGTTTCCTTTCGAGCTCATATTGGATCAACACAGGGAGACCTGGTGCAACAGGTGGACTTGGTGCAACAGGGGGAGTGGAAGAGAAGGAGCTCTGGTGATCGTAATTTTACGACCACGTGGGTGTCAACGGTCGTTGGGCAGAAAAAATACAAAAATACCAGTGAGGTGAGAATATATATCAGCGATGAATGGAGCACGATCGCGGCGGTATTTCATATAAATCCTTTTTTGTGTTCATGTATTATCATATCTATGAAATATAATAAATTGGAGTAGATGCTCATAATCGTGTTTCTGATAAAAAATATATAAATCAAATAAACTGTGTACGTGTGACGACAGAATGCATCTGCTCGAATGGCAGACGAACACTATCGAACATTTAGAATAACCGGACCACATCGAACTACTGTGCATGCTGCGCTGGCGACGAATCATCTGAATCTTTTTAATCACCTACTTGCAACCGTCTTGGGTCTAGCCGTTGTCTTGCGGTCAACCACACTGGTGACGAGAAGTTCGGGAGCGAGGGCGGAAACAAGGGAAGAAACAAGGCGCACCCTCGCTCCCTTTTTACGAAACGAAACCAAACGATGCGCACAATCTGCGCGAAAAAGGTCGAAAACGAGGGAACGAGTGGATAAACGAGGGTAATCGGTACCAATCCTGGCGCAAACAAGGGAGCCCTGGCGCAAACAAGGGAGCCCTCCCTCGAACACTCCCTCGTTCCCTCATCTCATATTCATTTTAGCAATCCCTCGTTCCCTCGTTTACCACCATGTTCCCGTCCTCCCTTGTTAACCACCTTCCAGTTTAACGGTTCTCATATAGTCCGCAACTAAGAAGCACTGGCCATCCTATTTCTACGGTTCCATTTGAATTCAAACCTTTTGCTATGTAGTGCGTGCAATATTACAACAATGATAAAGGAAAATTAATTTACATTCGCTGTTACTAGTAGTACACATCTCATTTCAGTTCAACAGCAGATCATCACACTGTGTGTATGTTTCGCCTTGAATGCCTGGTTTCCATTCATGCTTGCGCCGCCAGTAAAGTGTTCAGTTGCGCTTGTGTTCATCAATCACAATCACATAGTCTTGTTTGATCACACGTAGTCTTGTTTGATCACAGGTCTGAAGCTCTTCGTGTGCAATCACACTTTTTGACTCCAGTCTGGTTTGACAGCTGGTCACTTGGATTTCCCTCTATTTCTCTGGCCAATGACGACAGCTCGAAACAAATCTAAAAATAACTGGCATCCTATATTGTACCTGTGCAGTAATGTGAAATGATTGCGGTTAGTGCAATCCAGGATTTAAGTCACCACAAGCATCCTTGACTTACCGTCTCATGTCCCAGACATCGTCCTGGTCTGATCCTTCAAGCGTCAAACATCGAAGACAACCCAAACTCAAATAATAAGAGTGTTTTCAAGATGTGATGAAGGACTACTGGTACCAGGTACCTGGTGCCTACGGTACATTTGTACGTACCCATTTTTGCAGTACGATTGCACGCAAGCCTGCCCATATCATAGCCCATGCACATACATTTCAAATCGAACCGTTAACATTCGATTGAGTCGGATTTAAAAATTGACTCCTGTGATTTGATTAGATTGTATTCCTGTGGAAGAAACTAAGAGGTAACAGGCCTCGTCTCTTGCACCATATGACCTTGTTCCCATTACAATTTGTGATAAATTTCCGGGCGATATTTTTATTATGTATCTTTAATAGATCTGTGCATACTCTGAATCAAAGTTCTTTCAGTAGAATCGATAATATTAAGGAATTCCACAAAGTCAATTGAGGAGTAGGAAAGGAAGAAAAAATTATGCTGGCCTAGAATCTTTTTTTTTTGCCAGAGCCCTCCAAACCACCGCCCAAATTCGATTACTATATGTATTTTGACAACTTTGAACTTGGTGCCATCGTGTCAGGGTATCGACTCGGCTACTGGGAAGGATTCCAGCCACTCTCTTTAATGAACCTGGATTGATCCTCAATGCAGTGTGAGTGCTATTCAATCATTTTTACCTAAAAAGCGTCCACTCCAAAGCCACCGATCTTCTCATACATACCCATGGACGACAAATATGTGTTAGAACAAGTCATTTTTAGGAAATTCGGCCCACACCACCACTAAGTGGCTTTTTGGACAAGATTTCCATGATTTCTGACCCCATTTGGGCGGCATGATTCTTAATCTAGGCGGAACCACTGCCTGGGTCCCAGAAAATTTGAGTATTAGGCATCCAAGGGAGGCTCTGGTGTATTGTTGAATAGTTGGCTGTCTCCAGGGCGGCCACACCGACCCTCATGCTGAAAGGGGAACAGACAGCACCAAACACTGGAATTCCAATATCTCAGCAAGTAACCCAAACAAAACACATCCGATTGGATCTCCGAGTAGGTAGGATCACTGCCGAGCTTTCCAACACATGTTGAATGTGAGGCATTGGCCCTCTTGACTTTCTGCCGACCAGTTTTTGCAACCTGACAGAACCAGTCGAACGAAACAGGGTAGATTGTAGTGTAATTGAGGCGATTGGAAGTATGAATCGCCACTCCAGCCATAGTCTATCTATCAATTACGCTTGCCACAGCATGTTCGGAGGTTTTTACTTCTCTGGGCGTTCACACTGGCTTGTCCAAACGTGGGGAACAATCGCACCATGGCACCTTGATGTGCTCCAAATCGTCAATTTTGGTAGTTGAGATCCCAAAAATATACATTTGCGTAGATCTTGGTCTTGATGGTGACGGTAGATATGAGTCGCATTCGTCAAATACGTCTTCTTGACACCTATCCGTCCAGTCTAAGCAACAAACAGAACCAATCATGGTGGATTATTGTGTGATTGCGGCCCAGCAAACATTATTCAACATAAATACCGCCACTCCCGACGTAACGCAGGTATCAATTATGCTTGCCACAACCTCTAATTCCACTTTCTCCGCTCATGGGGTCCAGACCGTGCAATTTCATTGTCACCGACGAATTTGCAACTCAATGGTCTCCGTTGAAAATCGTCCTGTAGAAACCCATATAAAAACACATAAAATGGTATCATTGCCTTTCGTATAACAAGAGAAGTAACTTCCGCAGAAAATTCGAGCTCTATGTTGCCTTGGGACTTCGTAGACGTCCCGAAACCTCTCCAAAAGTAGTTTTCAGACCTTTTGGAGGTACTTCAGCAGTGATTTCAGAGGCAAATAGGGCAAATTCCTCCATGTCGCTTCGTATACACAAAATATATATGACTATAATATAGACAATGTCAGGGGTTCGAGGGAATTTCTAGCAGTGGATGATGAGTTCATTGGCCTCAAGCTTACCATTTCCACTTTTCAAACGGAGACATCAAATAAATACGTCTGCGCAATGGATATCGGTGGAGACATTCGGAGCTCGCAAGACCTCTTCACGATGTCAATTTATTCATGTGCATCACTTTCGCGGAAAATACGTCGATCAAAAAGCGAAGAATCAAGGGAATGAGGTTCGAAGCGAGGGAGAAAGGGAGTTTTCAAGGCAAAAAGGGAGTTTTAAAGGCAAAAAGGGAATAAGGGAGAAAACAAGGGAAAAAACGGTTGAATGCTGGACGAAACGTCCCTTGTTCCCTCAAATGCTCCCTCGTTCCCGAACTTCTCGTCAGCAGTGCAGCTTCACTCGCACGGAAACGAGCAAAACATAAAATATACCGGTAGACTCGCACTCTGACAAACATATTACTCTTATTTGGGTAAAATGCGGAAAACATCGTACCGGTACAGGTAGTAGCAGCCATTTCAGGGCACCGTTTCGCAATCGTATATTGACTTCCAATAGATTCCGCATAATAAATGTAACATAGCAAAGCATAACAATAGGGAACAGGGTTAATGGAATTTGGAATAGCATTATAATTGATTTGGTCTACTTTCATTCTATGCTGAATACGGATGAATTGACCAGTATTGCGATATTTGCCGGCAGCTGCTCTGGGCTCAGATAACGATCGTATTGCAACACGTGCAGAAGCTATGATACTGATTGCATGCTATGCCGTTTTCGACATTCCACAGACGCGACTTTTAGCATCAAATCTAAATAATGCGTGCTTGATTTCAAACGAGATCATTCCTTCCGATGCAACCCATTTTTCCTTCGTCCTTTACTTCTTCTTTGTTTTGAAAGTAGTCTTTCTGATGTTGCATCTTTCACTGGCTGCGGAGGACTCGTTGGTGAACGATTAGATGCTGCGTTTTTCAATCATGCTGAGAATGTTTTCTGCCGATACTACTTTAGTTTGCCTTGCTCAGCGAGATCACCAACTACCTCATCCAAATCAGTGTGGACGCTGTTGTTTGTAGAGTCAGGTTGGCTGGTAGAAGGTTGGCGGGTAGAAGGTGGCTGCACAGAAGCACTCTTTCTAGCTGCATTTGAGCTGCTTCTGCTATTACGCTCGCTCTTGCGTCTACTCCTATTTTCGCGCCTCTTCCCGTCGCCAAGTTGCGATGTGGTAGAAGTTGCATTCGTCAATGGTGGTTGTTGTCGATTGCTTTCCTCGCTGTTCCTGCTACTGATCGTTTTGCGCTCAGAATCGCGGTTGGCCGAGCTGTTGCTCTCGTGGTCCGTAGGTGCGGTATTCAGAGTCGGAGGTACACTTGCATATGGCGTGTTCGCATCGATTTCCATCTTTTCGACTCCACCCATAAGCATTGAATTATCTTTCGTGTATCCAGCGCTTGATTTGTCGTACACATGAAGGAACAGTTGCGAGTCATCTCCCGTACTGTGTTCCTGATACTTCCATCCAGCCTTTAAGATTTCATTGACACCTTCTTCCGTCAAGACGTGTGAGTCACTGATCGGAGACAGCTGTGCTTTACTGTCATGTCGTTGGTTTCTGGCAGCACAAAAGCGCATGACGATAGCAAACACCAGAGTGAAGAGCATCATGTATAGTCCGAAGTATTCTCGCCTTTCCCAACTGGACGATGATAGCCTAGTGGGAAACGTCGAAATAATTTCTTCATCGCCCAAGTCATTCGGAGTTGGAATTTCGTCACCTTGGTCTTGCCCATCCAATTCAAAGACATCTTCCTCCTCCTCTGTCCAAGCCTCGTCTTCTTCGTCATCATCATCAGCAAACATGGGGTAAATGAAATCAAAGAGAGTATCATTCTTGACTTCCCCTAGAAGAATTCTTTCCAATTCGCCATTTGCAAGCGTCCTGTTGCCAATGTGCCAGCAGGTTCTTGTGACATTCGCGAGGATCCGAGGGTCTTCAATCAGATACGACAAGACATCCCAGAAAACGACGTAGTTGACTGCCATAGGATAGTACCATCGTCCGGTAGTCGCATTTTTGGTTTCTGTATCAACCAAATCAGTACTGTAGTGATGGAGCCAAATCTTGCCCTTTTTCTGTGCAGATCTTCGAGCCTTGTTGTTTCTTTCATCGGGTATCACGTCGGAATATGCGGCTCGATTAATGGAGCTTAGATCAATGAATGGGTTGCCATTGGGAAGTCTTTCGTTAGGTTCTTCGCTTGGAGGTTGAGTGCTGGGTGCAGCATCGGGCATTACCGCAATACTCGGACTAGTAGTACCCTGCTCATCATCAGCATCCTCATCCACGAGGAAGGAGTCAAAGGCATCAATCCGAATGGGCTCCGGGACGTGAAAGGGTGACTTGCGATGAAGGATACGGGAGACAGATATAGCTACGGCTCTACGGAGCCGATCAACTTGTCCATTGTTCAATCTCTTTCGGACTCCCACTCGAAAGCTCATGGGAACTAGGATATCATCCATCTCAAAGGTGGTGTTCCTCACATCATCGGGTTCATCTGATGTGGGGGCGCCAATAACAGGTATGTTGTGGTCCCATTGTATGCATTCTGGTGGTAGATGATCCAGATAGTTCAACATACTCTGGCAATCATAGAGGTTGTCGTCGCTAGGTCGGTTCTGTGAAGGAGAATTAGCCGTGTTATTGTTTTTGTTCTTGTCTTTCTCATTATCTTTATCGCTTCCGTCTTCATCGTCGTCATCATCATTGTCACCCCAAATTGTATCCCACCAATCCTCTTCGTCTTCGTCTTGACCACGATTGCTTTCATCACTGAGTAATCGCTGGATATTATTGAAACTTAGTGTTGAAAATAGGACATAATCATCATCATCATCACCAAACAAAACTTTTAACGACACTGGTTCATCTTTTCTTCCAAATACCACGAAGGAAAGGGATACGCTAAGGGAAAATAAAACAAGTATTGATACCAATGTTTTCATGGCGACTGGTGATGGGCTCATCTGTTAGCATTGGTTTATGCTGGCGGTGGCATAGGTACCGGTAGGTACAGAGATATGTAAAATCGAAAATTTCAACTCATTTTCGCACGATCCCCAATCTCCGGGTTCCCGGTGCATACGTGCACTCTTTCTATATTCAAAACTGATAAAAACATTAAAATCATATAGTGTCGAACGACTTTGACTTCAGACTCGGCATTCGCTTGTCTTCAGAGTTGTTGTCATCATCTCGATCCGAATTTTCCTGTGACGAGTTGTTGGTGAAGGTAGCAGACAAGTGTTGCCCGCTACTCCCAGCACCCTCTCCCCCAACCGTGCGATTCGTCACAGTAGCAGTATCTCGATCCGTCGGATCGGTGGAATCTGTAAGAGCCGCAGGGGCCGCTTGATCTTCCGCAATCGCTAGCTTTTCAACTCCACCCATCATAACGGAATCGTTATCGCTGTATCCCATGTTGGCCTTATCATAGACCTTGAGGAAGAGTTGCGATCCGTCTTTTTGCTTTTCATATTTCCATCCCACCGTCAATAAGTTTCTCACTCCATCTTCTGTGAGCAGATGCGAACCGTCCGGCACAGGTTGCTCCGTCTTCTTGGCGATCGAAAAGAAGAACAGACCCCATGCAACTACCAGCGTCAAGAAAAAGAGGAGCGCCCCCACCGATTCCCGTCTTCCCCATTCCGTTTCCAATGGATAAAGATAGGTTGGAAGCCTATCTTCGGTTGGGTCCAGGAAAAATATGTTCCCTTCTTCCAGCAGCCAGGCTGCAATCTCCGCCTCTTGAGGACTTATCCTGTTGTGATCGAGATACCACTCAATGGAATGGACCAAATTTTCGTACAACTCGCCATTCAGAATGACGCGATTACAAACATCAAAGCAAACCTTGCGAACTTCAGATAATACGCGCCGTTTTACAATGGCCTTGTTTCTCTTTCTCCACCAAGCCACAAATTCTACCCTCATGGGGTACAACATAACATCTTCCTGAGTATTGGTTGTCGGAGAGTGTATCGGAGTCTCCGCTGAAGTAAAGAAACGCCAAAGCCATATGCTAGGATCATTCCCACCTCCGCCTCCTCCATCTGGTGGTGGTGGACCAGATTCCGGTGCCGGATATGGTGACGATGATACTCCAGGTAGAGCAGGCCGAGGCTGCTCTCCTCCGCTCCAACTATTATTCCCACTTCCACTCCAGTTTCCACTCCAGCTTTCAGTTCCATTTCCACTCCAGCTTTCAGTTCCATTTCCAATCCAGCTTTCAGTTCCATTTCCAATCCAGCTTTCAGTTCCATTTTCACTCCAGTTTCCACCCCAGCTTGAATTCCTGTTTGGGATAGTTGGTGCTATTGTGTTCATAGGCGATGGTAAGTCTTCGCCTGCCATAGTTGTTGTTGTTGGCTCATATCGCGAATCTTCATCCCAAGCAAATTCGTCGTCTGTGTCCTCTCCCCATGACATCATTTCTTCCGCTAGCAAACGGAGCTTCGTCTCCTCCTTTGTTTCCAACCGCCTTTCTCTATTGCCATCTCTATTATCATCGCTACTGCTGCTGCTGCTGCTGTTTCCACCATTGCCATTGCCACCTTTCTTTGCTTTTGGGATATAAAATGGAGAATTGTCCGACAGGGCTTTAGAAACGGCTTTCGTTACCACATACCGAACGTATCTGGTTTCTTCCAAGTTCAAAACCCGATTCTTAATGCCCACCGAAAGGTCATACGGAATTAAGCTATTCCTAATACCCGTATCATCGGGGCGTTCGTCTGGGTCCATCTCTTCTTCATCATCACTATCTGCACACTGTGGATACATTGACTGCAGAAAAGGGGATAACAAGTCACAGTGAACATCGCTATCGTCTGGAGGCCTGTATCCTCCCAACCGCCGCTTGCGACTTGGCGACAGTATTCTCTTCACAGGCTGAATTTCAGAGGAGTCCACCAATTCAAATGTATCAACTAGCGAAGCTCCTGAAGCAGTTCCTGCCTGAATCAATACGCAAAATACAAATATCAGGAGTCTGTTCCACCTAGAATTCATTGTCGTATTCCAATTATTCTCATAAAGCCTTGATTTTGAAGCATCCTCCATCGTATCCGATGTATTAAATTGTACCTATTGAATTCAATCGTGAAAATAAAGGTATAATGGTTTGAGTTCAAGAACTCGAGAGCTTAATCAACTGGCTTAGAGTCTACTCAATCTCTATCAGTCAGAGCTTTGTCACTTGTAATAAGCGGCTGGGGAAGAGATCAATCTGTGCTTCCAGGGTGCAAGCCTATTATGATTTGCCGGTATTATAATGATTTGCCGGTTGTGCTCACCAAAAACGAAGCCAGCAATCTCTTCGGTGTTATTATTGTTCTACTTCCTGCCTGTTCGCAACACGGCAGCAAGTCAAACTACCGTCTGCACGTACATCTGCATCCGAGCGGTCGATCCAGTCGACTGAGATCCTGCAGCGCGCTGCGCTGCGCATGTTCAATCTAATCTGTACGTAGTAATTTCAAAAGCCTCTCTTCTTAGTACCAGTATAAAGCTTTTCGTAACACTACATCCTAGCTCCTATAAAACGGTTATTAACACTATACCCTACAGCCTACAAATTCCAGCAACTTTAAGAGTAAACCATTGTGCTTGTCCAAAGCACCAACAGCAGTGCCCACAATTTCGATTTGGTATTTGCGCTTGATCCATTGCATACGGCCCTATTCCAAGTATCACTCCACCTACATGCAAGAGTGGTACTCATGCGGGTTACACCATCAAACATTCTGTCTGCGTTTTGCACAGAAGAGACGTCCCACGATGACAAGTCTTGATTGAACGAGGATGCGCCCTGGAACATGCCTTCCATATTTGTTACGGAAGAAACATCCCAGCTAGATATATCCTCATTGAAAGTGTCCATGTCTTTAAAGAGGAAGGACATGTCCGTTACTTCCGAAACACACCATGATGATATGGAACGACCGTACTTTCTATGAAGCACTTCGACATTTGTAACACACCGTGCGGAAGGATTCTCCGCCACTTGGGCGCAATATAGTGACCCTTGTTGGACGGCATCGATTGCTTCCTTAAGCTCCCACTTGTCGCCAAAGCATGTGCAAATGGATCCACAGAATGGTCCACCTTGTGGGAAACGAGGATCCGACGGATAACGACATGCAGAATTGGTAAATACAGATATCGACGCATACAGTTCCGAAGTTCGCAACTGAGATCCCCACGCACACAAATCTTGGCTGAAGGATGAGGCATCAAAGAACATTTCCTTAATATCCGAGACTCTTGAAAGCTCCCATGACGACAAATCTTGGTTGAAGGATCTTGCACCCCGAAACATGTACGACATGTCCCTAACTGAAATCGTCAGCCAGGATGACAGATCTTGATTGAAGGACACGGCACCCCAAAACATCCTTCCCATTTCGGTAACTTGAAAAACATCCCAGAGCGACAAGTCTTGGTTGAATGATACCGCACCCTGAAACATTCCAGTCATATCAATGACGGAAGATACATCCCATGGTGCCAGTCTTTGATTGAAGGATGATGCACCCATGAACATATTTCGCATACTAACGACTCTGGAAACATCCCAGTACTGTAATTCTTGATTGAACGACGAGGCGCCATCAAACATCCTCCTCATATCAGTCACTGAAGAAGTACTCCAGGTTGCCAAGGTCTGATTAAATGTATAGGCATCCTGAAACATTGATCGCATACTCGTGACAGAAGAGACATCCCAAGCTGAGATATCATCGTTGAATAAATATGCATCACGAAACAATCCCTGCATCGTAGTGACTCTTGAAACACACCATGATCCCATGGGCCAGCCATACTCTTTTGCTATGACACTGTCGCACTTCTTGCTGTCCGAACAGCCATCATCAATGTATTGACGGACAGCATTCTTAAGCTCGTCATCAGTGGCAAAGCAAGCGCACTCAGAGCAAGATGTACCCTCGCCATCGTTATCTTCATCATCATCATCTTCGTCGTCCTTATCTTCATCATCATCATCATCCTTGTCCTTGTCATCCTTATCTTCGTCGTCTTTATCTTTATCATCCTTATCTTCATCATCTTTGTCCGGACCGTCCTTATCAGCATCAGGACCATTGTCCTCATCCTTGTCTGGACCGTCCTTGTCAGCATCAGGACCATTGTCTTCATCCGTGTCTGGAACGTCTTCATCAGTATCAGGAGTAATGTCCTCATCAGGACCATTGTCTTCATCAGGGGGGTCCTTATCTTCGTCCCCTACATCCCCATCCTCGTCCTCATCGTTATTGTCTTCGTCTTCGTCTAGCGTGGGTTCTTTCTCCTCGTCCTTGTCGTCCTTGTCGTCCTTTTTGTCGTCCTCACCCTCCTTTTGAAGAGATCGTCTTCGATTGAAATAATTGTTGAGATTTTGGTCGGCTTGAAACAGCCTTGACTCTCCCCTGACTATGGATTTTTTCTGGGAGCGGACAATACTTTTGGCGTCCTTTTGAGCATCCACAACAGATCGAATTATAATACTACAGAAGAGGATGGAAAACAGTATTTGAAGGTTGCATGCAAGCCTCATCGTCGTATTGGTGGAGTAAGAATGAACCGCGGGAAACGTACAGGGTAAAGTATGATGTTGCGGTAATATATTTTATTGTTGCATTGAACGGCGGTCCAAAAGTCGGTCGTGTATTATTTTTGAAACGGACTCCGAATGCACTAACAAAGTTTCTTTTTTCAATGCTGATATAAAGAGCAATTAGATACAGGTGTCGGCGGTTCTTGGAAAGCAACCAAAACGATGATGAGATTTAATCATGAAAATGGTGATGTTATTAGATGACGCCTTTCTGAAGTACGAAACACACTATGCAGTATAAACAAGCAAGTGCATGCTGGCTCCGATCACGAATGCTGGCTGTGTTGACATACTATTTGGAAATATGTGTCACACACATCAAGCATTCGTTGTTCTTAACTTTGGTGTTTTGGATGTATGTCACGGTACAGTAGCGACACTACAGCCAAGGATACAGCACTGCCTATGGTACCAGGTACAGTAGAAGTACTGCAGTTCAGCATTTTTCTCACGTCCGTCTGGCGGTTGGCCAAAAGGCAACGGTATTTTTGTCAAAATGTCATGCATATTCAATGCCGGTATGTACCGGTATGATGTACCGGTATGTCACAGTCTCGCTCGCTCTCGACTCATGCGAATGAATTGTTTCGCCAGACCTCTTCGTGTTATTTTTTAACCGGCAGAATTTTTCAACGCTTCATTTATTGGATCTGAAGCGAACCTGCGACATCATGACAGAGTATTATTTATCAACAGATCGTTTTACCTAATCAACAGATCGTTTTACATAATGACGGAAGTGTAACACTCACAAATTCCCAACTATTTTGTGAACTTTGTAGAAACCTTGTGTCGCAACAATATTTTACAAGTGCCGAAGTGCCGATACGAGATACAAGTGATGCAAATCACGCACAGTATACAGTACCACAGCCCGACCTACGGATGCAGATCGCCCAATCGACTACTCTCCATTTACATACAAACACCAAGAAGTGTTTCAACACAGTCGTTGACCATGATGACTAGAGTGCTGCCAACGAATAGCGAGATAACTTCGTTCCCACAACCCGAAGACTCGCTCGCCAGGGATACGACCCCTGAAAATCTCCTCAGCCAAATAACATCACCAGAAGCTCATCGCAAGGATTCAGGTGACTTCACCGATACCTCTGGAAGTTCAGATGGTTCAATAGGAAGCAAGAAATCTGTTAATAGCACGGATGTATGGGTCCAGGCTTGTGAAGCACATAAGGATGACCCTTCGAGCACGCCTAATGCTGTTGCTGCTGAAACAATAGGTCAACCTCATACTTCTACTGCTTCATCTGAAGCTACTCAAAAGGCTTTGGATGATCGGCAACAAGATCAGCAACCGCTTACTACTGCTGACGCAGAAGAAGGCGAGAGTTCAGTCGACCAACAATGGTATGAAGACGAGAGTACTGATCTGAATTCCAGTAGTACTTTCCAGAAAACGAATATGGATTCCAGAATATCATCGGTCACTTTCACTACAGGCTCTGTCGCACCCCAGTCGTCCAGCGAACTCTTTGCGCCTTCCATCAACAACGAGACGGAGACTCCTCAAACATCCAGCGAATTCCTCAAGGCTTCCGGCAACAAGGTTGTTAGTAGAGATATCACAAACAGTGAACGATGGAAGAACAACAACAAGTCACAACTCCCTCAACCTGCCTCCCGCAAGATAAGTTTTGCCCCCAAACAAGGAGACTTTGGACTGCCATCGATTCCAAAAAGGACCTCCTTGAACAGCAACAACTCATACGCCAGCTCGGCTGCTGCTACCACCGTTTGGCCAACCAAGGCCATTCTCAAGGCGAGTGTAGACGAGGTGATTCCTGTGAAAATTCACCGTCGATTCTGGAAGAAGCTGCCTCCACCAGAGATGAATATCATCAAGGAGAAGCGGCAGCAAATGCTAGATTTCCTGCAATCCCAAGAGGAGGAAAAGGAAAACAAAGAGGTTGACGTCCCTTCTTCTACTACCGCTACAACTCCTTTTCCACCTCCAACCGGCATTCACCACCGATCCCAATCCGACTGTACTGGGACCCCAGCAGTCGCTCTTGCGCCCCTCCGCGAACGGTCCAAGTCCGAAGGTGCCAAGGCCAATGTCAATTTTGAGTCGATTTTTGTGCGGGAGTATCAACAAACCATTGGGGATAACCCAAGTGTCGGCTATGGTACTGCGATTAGTCTAGACTGGCCCTATATTGACCATGACCCAGTGGACTTGGACGTCTACGAGACGAAAAAGAAGAGACGTACCATGAGACAAATGTTCTTGAATCACTACCAACGCAAGAACATATTGATCCACAGATATGGACACAGTCCGGAGGAAGTCAAGGCAGCCAAACGAGCCACCAATAAGGTAAAAACTCAACGAGAAATTTCCAAAATGATGCAAACGAGCTTGCAACCCTTGTTGCTGTTTGAAGAAATGAGAGAGTCAGCAGTCCGAAAGGTGAAACGACGCAGGAATAAGGGCAAGAACAGGAGTTCTGATGTGGCTATTGTTTCAAGCGGTGAAATGTTAGTGCACGAGTAAAAAGGACAAACAGGCACAGGAGAGAAGGAACCAGAAGGCTGTATAACGACAGCGCCGTTGCCTTTTATGAAAGACGGCAAGATGATTTATATAATATGATGCATAGGTTGTTGTTGGGCATTCCAACAAACAACAGTTTTGTTATGCACAGATACATGGGATGATAGAAAGCAAGTAAACAATTTTAAAACAAGTTTTGAAGTCTACTAACTGTGAACAAATGCAATAATTAAAAGTACTCCCTGCTGAAACAATGAAAGCTCGCAAAGTGTCCGTCATTCATGCGTCGTATTCAGAGTGCTGCCGGAATAAAAATTGGCGGGAAACTGTCACCGCCACATCACCACGCATCACCACATCAATCTTCTGTTCGAATTGAATGAAGCAAAAGCTGGGGATTGGGGACATCACCAGCGAACCAGTGAACAGGAGGTGACGACAGAAAAGATGCCATCTGAACTCTCAATAGCTCTTGAGCAATCGGTGTACAACGAAACTGTAACCACCACTCCTCCATACTCCGAAATGACTTCTGCTGCTTCAGCAGGTCCGACCAAGCTGGAATGTCATCCAAATGACAACCCCCTTCCATCAGAAGGTGAATCGTCAACAGTGGAGAAGGAGCACCATGCGCCTATCAATACAGATCATGAACACCCTGTGTCCTTCTTGCCTTTAGCTGGATTATCAGATGGAATCCCTGGAGGTGATGGAGGATTCTTTATCGAAGACAACAAAGATGACGTGGATGATGGCAATGATCAGGATGCTGAGAACGGTGGATTGCAGCAGCAAGATGATGCAAGTGGTGAAACAGATTTGCTCTCAAAGTCACCATCGTCCACTGCGGCGAGCTTTCCATCTCGGTCCATATTGAAAGCAGAAGTTCATGAAGAGATCCCTATACGAACCAACCAGAATAGATGGAAACAGCTCCCGGCTCCCGACATGGAATATGTCAAGATGAAAAGAATCGAGTCGCTGAATTCCATAGCATCACGCAATTCTGCACCTGACCTAGCATTATTGAACGCTGAGCCAAAATCTCCAGAGTCGCCCAAGTCACCCAAACCCCCTTCGTCATCCCCAGCCATGAGGAAATCTGATTCCAAAGTCACATTTCAGCATATTACTGTTCGGGAATATGACCAAACAATCGGAGATAATCCAAGTGTCGGATACGGGGCGCCCATCTCCTTGGATTGGCATTACCAGGAAGACGAACCCTTGCATGTGGACTTGTACGAATCGAACCGGGGTGGACGACGCAACATGGAGCAAATGCACATCAATCACAATCAACGCAAAGCCATTTTCACGCGGAATTATGGTTTTTCCGAATCGGAAGTCAAGGCAGCCCAGAAAGCCACCGACAAGGTCAAATCCCAGCGAGAATTTTCCAGATTTGTGCATATGAGCATGCCTTCCTTGATAGCGGTGGAAGAAGTGAGAGAGTCGGCCGTTCGAAAATTCAAACGGTACCGAGCAAAAAAGAAGACTGCTGAATGCAATCCAAGAGAACAAGCTGCCACGACGAAAGGAAAAAAGAGCACGAAAGGCGACGTTGTCGAGGCATCCATGACACGGGTACAAAGCGCTCCACGCCTGCAGTAGTTGGAAGCTGAACGAAGAGGATCATAGCGTTGCTGCAGGACCTCGTGTTGATTGATTAGCGACCCAACGTCTTGATTGTAGGGTTGCGATATTGGCAGAATCTTAGAAAATGTGGGCGTCGTACCGGTACATGCGATTTCCAGTGATCATAGAATTATACCGTACACAATTCAGGATACCAATACCACGTGTATCAATAAGATATTTACAAGGGTCGTATGTTTTAAACGCTCTTACACTAGTCGTAGAAATGCATATTTCTAGTTGGGTTCAAGAATCAGAATTCTCGTAGTTGGCACTTGGTGACACAACTTCGATGAGATTTGAGGCACCGTCTACTTTTGTGAAGTTAGACGATTTAAGGAATCTCATCGCGGATGGTTACTATTGGGCCTTTCTCTTGGCACTACTTCCATTCCTTTTAGCTTCTGTTGGGACATAAGAACTATGTGAAAGCTTTCTGGTCTCGGGCCTAAATAAAATGGATGAACATGAGGGCGTTATTATTCCAAGGCGCCAATGAAGCGGTTCGAAACGGCGGGACGACTACATATTTATCGAAACAAAACATTGTTGGGTACTACAACGGTATTTGTGAGGGTTCTGCACTTTTAGGAAGCGCCATTGAACTTCTTGTACCTGGTACCGTAGCAAACAGAGCACAAAACGATATCTGATACATATGTAGAAATTACGAGTAGATTGAATGTCGAACGGTGTGTTCTTATCTGTTGTGTGTCGTTCAATGACCGCTGCTTAGAGCGCAACCAATCGCCTTAAATAAATTTCGCCTTCTATCTGGCCAAAATACCAAATTTTTTTGGAAGTTCGTTCATATCCTTCAGAACTTTCCATCATTCTACATCCCACTTAGTGCTGCTCCTCTCATCGTGAAAATACTGGCAATTTGTCTTTCCCAACAAAGGTATATCGCAGTCTCATCTCATCAGAAAACTTTCCAGCAGGATACTCTTGCCTATATCAACAACTTATCAGGTAGAATACTACAGTATTGGTTACTTTCAGCGGAACGTTCAAGCTTATCAAACTTCTCAATAAGCAATAAGATTCCTTGTCGATATCAACATATGAGTGTTTCAGAAACGCACAAGTCTATTATGACACAAATGACTCTCCCACTCTCAGAGGGAGGAAGCCCCTCTGGGTCCTTCAAGGTCGAGGAAGTTGGTGAATCTGATGCTGGGCCTAGAGCACCCACGAATAAACCTTTGTCGGCACATTCCTTAGACACCGAAGATCAATCGACACCTGGCAGCATGAGAATACTTCATAGACAAACGAGTGCTCCAAATGTGTGCAAGATATTAGAAGACCCGGCAGCAGACTGTTTGCCCAGTGTTCCGAGAAGAAGGAGATCCTATACATCTGAGTTTTCAGATATACAAGGTCGGACTCTTGATGTCGCCATTCCGGCGGCTGAAGAAGACGAAACGATACAAGACTCGAATCATCATCATGATGATGATGATGATTTATCCTCTAGACCTCCAATGGATAGGACGGTATCAAGAAGACTATCAGATTCTGAACGGAGATTTGAAGCCACGGAGGATACCATTGCTCCTCCCGTTCGGGTGGGCAGCATTGCTTCGATAGTGAGCCATGGGTCAAATCATTCTTCTGAGACTGCAACAAATGAAGCTATGGAATCCATGATTCTATCTCAAATCCCAGAACACATTCGGAATCAAATGACACCAGAAATGTGGAAGAAAATATTTACAGTGAATGCCATCAGCAAGCGCTCAGAAGTTGCTTCAGTCTGTTCCGACATCACAGATGACCTTCGATCCGCGAAAAGCCTGTCCACGAAAAGCTTTCTATCTCCTCCGGCCAAGCGGAGCTCAATCGACTTCACCGGCGAAGTCAGTCCTATCAACGACGACGAGCTCGGCATGGTCAGAGAAAACCTCGAGTCGCACTCTACCTTCCGAACAGAAGACTCCAATGATCTTCTCAGTCAAGCTACTCCTTCGAGCTACCAAAGCATCCCCAGCTCCACCACCAAGGATGAAGATACCGCAGCTTCTCCATCTTCCCCAGCCATGATGAGCCCTCCCACCAGGAAGCCATCCAGCTCCAGGTCGTCGGCAAATGAGCCCCCCAAGACTGCAATAAGACCGCGCCGTGGAAGCGCTGACCATCGTGCTGCTCGCGATAAAATTCGAGTCAAAAAGTCAAAAGGCGATGCTCCCCCGCGTCCCCCCCAGAAGAATCGATCTATCGGAAGAGAAACAGATGCCTCTGTATCAGACGACCAACCCTCCTCTGGACGTCGGGTTCCCAAGAAGCGTAAATTCTCTGTCCGTTTTAATCCACAAGCTGACGTGAGGAATTTTGAGCGTGTACTTGAAGTCCACCCCAGTACTTCTTCTGGACCCAGCGTTGGGATCGGATGGGCCTTTGACGAGAGCACTGAAAAACTCACTTTTGGTCGGCCTCCAAACAGGCGTAGTAGTGACATGTTGCTGTCCCGACAAACACGAGAACGCATGGTCCGCGTGGAATTGGGGTACTCGGCCAAGGAAATTGCTCGGGCCGTTCGTGAGACCTTGAAGATCAAGAATCAACGGCGCCGTACCGTCAATAACCTTCAAGAATACGGCAGCTTTGCTCCCGTCGAAAAGGTGGAGTACTTGATGGAAAAGTGTCAACGCAAGTTGGGTCGGCTGCGATTGGGACGAAAAGCCTGAGCTGCCCAACCTTTCATTTTGCTTTTTGGAATTAGTGTATAAAATGCCTATGTATTGTAGATTAGAAAGATCAAGTTACACCCCTTTCTCCTTCTTTTCTCCTTCTGTTCGTTATTGGATTCTCCGAAATGCAAGACTAAAGGTATTATTTTCCTAGTGCCATCGGTGATATTCAATCTTGTCTTATTATGGCAACCCCAATAATCGCGTCACGATGGCACAGGAATGACAAGGTAGAGACAAAGAGTACAGATAATTAGTGAATCTTCCAGCCAATCGCAGCATTCAGTGTAAACATGTCGCATCGTCAGTATCTTCGGGATATTCGTCGATAATGCATTCGGGATATTCGTCGATAATGCATAACAGGTACAACTTAATATTTCAAATATTTATCATGGCGATGACGAGTTTTCCCACTAATGAAACAACATTCCAATTGGAGTCACTGAGCTGAATTTCATGATGTGCCTGATACATCAGTCAACAGCAAGTCAACAGCTCGATATGGATCCGATCCATGGAATGAATCATATTCACGACTGTCTATCTCAGGGAAGATACAAGTACCACCGTAATACGTCAAGAACCCAGAGATGACTGGGTTTCTAGATGGATCCTGAAGCCAGCCAAATCACAAGGATTATGATGAAAGCGAATAGATTGGTTGCCTGTTTCTTCCTCCTGTGATGTAAGGTGAAGCAATGTACGATGAGAAAATCAATATATTGATCACATCACGTTGAATCAATGTATCTGAGACTTACTTTTCCCACAGTAACTTCTTTCTTACAGCTTCTCCAGCCGCTGTATCAGCTGCTGCATCGTTTTCATTGCCTCCCACGTCAAGTTGAGTTTGGTTTGGTCGTGATGGATTACTCAAAGCATTAGAAAATCCTGAATTATTGTATTGTGGTGTGTACTGCTGCTGTTGCTGGTTCTGTTGTTGTTTCTGCATATGTTGTTCATATAAGTGGCGACGATGTGCCTCCACATCGTAATCGTCTGCATAATCATATCGACTCGTCGCCTGTCCCCATCCCAGCAGTTCACCAAGGCCGCCGTTGTAATTGTGAGCATTGGGGCCCTTGATTGTCATCTTCGGTTGGAGTGTTAATTTCTTTAGTAGTGTGTGAATACGATACTAGAAGATGATTCCCTCTGTTGAATCCAAACGAGAGAAGGTAATAGCAGTGTGGGATGCAGGGTTCCGAGACAATTATTATTGCGGCGATGCATGTTTTATTCTTCTTGCGGTCGAATAACTCAAATTGATATGGTATTCCATTGGGTCGCCTCGACTCACATGATTCCGATGGATTCGATTCATTCATTCTTCGTTCAATCAATCATTCATTCTGTACTACGTACCTTCTGGTCTACCGGTGCAATGTAATCCCATGTAGAATACCATGTTTCCTATTCTTCGATTATTACCATCGCACCATGGCCATCCTCTTGATCTCCGCCAAGTCTTCGTCTGCATGCGGGTTTTGGTCTGCACTTTTTGCGTACTACCCTCTGAATATCACCCATTGCCGCCTCCTCCCAGCTAAGATTTTCTGAGGCTATGAGAAAAGCTGCAACGGTTGCTGGACTGGGATTCCTGCCTACCACCACGGCAGTGGCTGCACCAAAATGCTTTGCACTGGTCGCCCGCCAGCACCACTTTCTTGCTGCTCTCTCAATTACTGGGATTGTTTGTGCAACCACGTGCCCAGTTGCTTGGATCATTACTTGCGTCTTTTTTTCTACTGCCTTGTTGCCTGCAAGGTCTACAATTCCCAAGTGAAAGTACTAGTACTAGTACTAAATGCGATTGCGGGACTGGGCAATCACGAGTGGAAAAAATGCAGTCACTATTTTAGCAAGGAAAGGAAGAATGATGTCGCAACCTGCTTCACTCGCGAATGGAGCCAAAATGCGGATTTTGTAATGTCATTGATGGCAAGTAACGGAAGAATAATGCCCATTAGCAAACTGCAACTTGCGAGGAAAGAGCTGGGGGGAGGGGTACAGTTACTATGAGTGAGCGAGGAGTAAAGGAATAATCATTGTGGCGCAAAATTCAAAGACAATCGACAGTCGACTATATATATACAGTACCCAATGATAGTTTCTCAAAAAAACATGCGCTCAATAGCGCGTTATTACTACATTTGAAAAAGAAGCACTCACTCATCGTACCTCAGCACAATGCTTCGACTCACTCTTAAACTAGGAAGAGAACCAGAGATATTGCGATGAGCATCATTCCCAGGATAAAAGCATGGGATACCACTCTATCTTCTGGGTCGTAGTGATGAGCCGTTGGCAAGAGTTCTCGCACACTAATAATCACCATCATCCCCGCCACAACGGCAAACAAGATTCCATACGTGACATCGTCGACGGCCGAAGCCAAGACAGCCCACCCGAGCAGAGCGGCAACCACTTCGGAGGCGCCCGATGACAAGGCCCACAGAAAAGCTTTTAGACGACTTCCAGTCGCATAATAGATCGGCAGTGCCACACATAAACCTTCTGGAATGTTGTGAATTGCAATGGCAACGGCCAATACCAAACCAATGGCTGGATCATTCACCGCCGCCACAAATGTGGCTAGACCTTCCGGAAAGTTGTGCAGTCCGATGGCCAGTGCTGTATTCATTCCCATGGCGACCAGTTTTTTTCGTTCGTCTTCGTCCATTTCGCCCTCTCCTTTGGAATCGGCATCATCATCGTCATTATTTCCTTGGTTTGGCAAAGGAAGATTGTCTTCGAAATCATCGTCGACTTCAATTTCTACCCCATCAATTTCAACCTTTTCGACAGCTGGTTGTTCTTCATCATCATCGTCCTTGCTGTCGGATTCCCTCATGGTTTTGGCCACTGGTGTGGGACTGACTGGTCCAGGTTGTCCACGGGTATTGACATCTCCCAAAAGGGAGGATACTATCTTGTTTAGAATCTAAGCAAAGGCAAAGGCAAAGAGACAGATAAGTGAGTGAGTGAGTGAGTGAGCGAGTGAGTGAGTGAATGTTTCATAGGGATATGTCATTGCGCCAGGTAGCCACCAATAACATAGACCACGAAACGTACCATCATGATAATGACACCGCCAAAGAAGCCACCAGCAGCAAACATCTGAGCCTTGTTAGCATCATAACCACCATCTTTAAAGGCAATGACCGACTTGCCCATAATTTCCACAAAGGAAACGTAAATCATGACACCCGCCGAGAAACCCAATGAGCCTCCCAAGACTTTTCGAGAGGCAATCATGACCAGACTGGGGAAAAATACCACGGCAGCTCCCAGGCCAGTGGAGGCTCCAGCGCCCAACACTAAAGCAATGGCAAGTGGTACATTGTCAGAATTTTCAACTGTCATTTTTGTTGTTGTTGTATTGTTGTATCGTTCAACAATTGCGGTGTGAAGTTGTTTCAAATGATGAAAATAGTTTCGTCTGTGATAAGTGTGCCTAAGCGACAATAAAATTGTTACGCCCTTCACTTTCAATCTGTCGGAGTATTTTGATGCAATGACCCAAAATCAGCTGTATTTTTCAACCTAGCAACATTTATAAAAAATAGGACTGATAAACCGATGACGGGTTTGTTTTTCGTGTTCCCGGTGACTCGCGAGCAAAAGAAGATTGAATTCCGTCCAAGTTCTAGACGAAAAAAGCTTTGTCCTAACAAGTTGTACCGTTTATCGCGTGATTCATATGTACACAAATTTCAGACTATAATTGTGTTCTGAAAAATAAGAAAAGGTGCGAAAGTAAAAGGCCCTCCGGTACGTACCCAATAATTCAACTTGCACACTTTTCTTTGATGCGATGTTTCGCTAGTGGCGAGCTTTTACCATTTCCGATATATGCAATTGAGCAAAGACGGGAGCGGTAAACTCCCTATACTGCTATCTCCAGAGAACTTTCCAATCTCTTTACGGTACACCTGTACCGGTACAGGCACTGCTACGTGTACACATTTCTTCATCTTTTTTTTGATTGGACTCACAATTTTTTCCAAGCGTAATTCAAAACACATCATTCACCATGTTCATGTTCATGGACAAGTCTGATCCTCTCAACTTTGGGGAGCAATTCGCTGCCCGACAACGGGAGCAAGACATTGCATCCAAGGGGTTCTCGACCATCAAAGCTCCCAAGAAGATGACCAAGCTCAAGAAGCTGCCCAAAGACATGCTGCACATGAAAGCACATTTGGAGAAAGATATTGAAGAGCAAGACTCACTGTTACGAGGCATCTCCAATCGGATTCACCACAGATCCAATCTGGCGTTGCGAAAGCTAAAGTTTCAGGACAAGACCTTTCCATCCTCCGCAATGAAAAGCATCATGGAACAGCAACAAGAATACATTCAAATTACGGTACTGAGACGAGCTCTACAAACCTACTTGCTTAATGTTATGTGTGGTTTGGCCACTTCCAAAAAGTTCAAGAAAGACTACAAGGCCATTCGAACCGCCCATGCTTCGGCCCCCAAACCTCCAATGCCAGAGTATACGGATGAGTATCTACTGGCCCGTCTTAAGAGGAAGGATCTCTTTCCTCTCGTCCACTTCAACGAAGGAAGTCCCTATCACGTTACTTATAGTGATACGCCGCCCTTTTGCAATCACGACGTCGCCCGAGAACGAGCCAAGGAGATTGCTGCCAGAGGATTCTCCAATATTGATATCCCCACTGGATATGTAAAAAGAGAGAAACCTACCATGAAAATGGTTCCCACCATTCGTCTGATCCGAGCTTCCATTCACGAGCAAGAAGACGCTCTTCAGAGACTGGTCACTCGGATTCAACAAGTGGCCCAAGACGCCGTCCAAAATGCATTGGAGGGCCACACGCAAGATGCTGCCGAAGAAATGCGGGCCATTCGAGAACTCCAACATGCTTACCTCCATCACTGTCAAATCATTGAAGGATTCAAGGCCTACGAAAATCATCTCATGTATGGTTTGTTGGATATCTCAAACGCCGAAAAGGATTTGGACGACATCAAGTCGATTCCTCCCAGTTACCGGCCTGCCGAAGAATCGGATGAGAACATGCTCCAATATTTGGACGATCGCAAGTTCTTTCCAAAGTTCTTTCCTCATTTGGGGGGCAAGGGAGTCAATATCCACTTTAGCGAGGTTCCTCCGCTTCCCATTAACAAGAAGAGCTGGGACACCAAGTCGACTGCTTCGCGGACGTCTGCATCCACGGCGGAAACCAAGACTGCCGATTGAGAATGTCATGATCATGGACCATAGAAAGAAAGAAAGAACGAATGAATCAAACAAACAAACAAACAAACAAACATTGAGTATCTATTGGGGTTGTCCAGCAATTGGATGTCATGTATACAATACAATTGGATGCCATGTATGTAAGAATATATAATATTTGCAAACTAGAATAAAATAAGAAAGATAATGCATTTACAAAGTAGTATAATAGGTACTGTACCAGTACTGTAATATTGGACTATTTTGTAGCAAATTGTTCCTGTCTACGGTACCTCCTTTTGTTGATGATTTCGTGGATCGTAGTTTCGCAAGAGTGGCTCAACGTTTGATTGACTTTGAAATCGCTAATTGTTGGTGACAAGGTTTTTATTACTCCTTTGGGCGCATTGGTTCACTGTTTCGCTATGGGGTTAGTTTCATGTGACCTTGACGTAGGTATCGTGGGGGGCTTTTTTTTGTTCAATTTTGAGAAAAGGGCTACCTACTCTAAAGTGAAAAGGCGGGGGGGAAAGCCCACGTTCGTTTTCGGTGAAAGTGCGGACCCACAAAGAAGTAAGTCGCTCCGCGGGAACAAGTAACTTGAACCCAGTCCTGTAATTTCCAAATTCGGGGATCGGCAACTTTTTTCCTACAATTCCGGGGTACCTACAATAATGGGGGTACCATACTGTAGTTATCCGCGAATCTCTTCGTTTGTAAAAAGACAAAACACTACGAGTGTTTATTTTCAAAATGAGCAACATGCATATCTAATTTTCATAATCCAACCTACAATATATATATCTCTATTGACCCCAAATTGCAAACATGAATTTTGCGCCCATATCAATCGTTACAGACTTCGCAAATCGTCTTGTGTCATCGAATCTCGACGATTCTTTTCGTCCAATACTCCCTTCAATTGATCCATTTTCCATTGCAATTCTTCTTGTTCCTTGACCAAAGTCGCCTTGGATCGTTGAAAGGTAAACAGCAGATCTTCCATCTGCCACTGCAGTTCATCCTTCATGCGAACGGTTTCTTCATGATATTTTTCCGTTTGATTACTGCCCGCTTGGTCGCTGTCTTGTTCTTCTTTGATGATTTCTTTTGTTGGTACAATAACATCCTTGCCCTTTCTCGCTCGATTGTACTTTTTGATAACTCCTGCTACAACAGCTACGAACATGAATGCCCAATGAATGAAAAAAGTTCCCAACATGGCCGGTAGTTCCATCTGATTGCTAGTATCCGAGCTTCCTTCTAGTGCACCTGCTGAGGACGCCGCGGATTTGGACGATGCCTTGAGTCGACGATGGGTTCCACTCAATCCATCGTGTGTTACCGACAACCCCCTCGAGTTGTATTTCTTGGCTACCTCCAACCTTCTCTTTGCCACTTCCAACCTTCTTCGTCGTTCCCCTGTAGTATCACCAGTATCACTGTCCGTCGTTCCCGTGTTACTCCCAATGTTGCTGCTCAAAAATTGTTCCGGCTTGAAGGTATTGCAATCCACTTCCTGACTCAATGAATTCTCTACTTCCCAGGCATCCCTCAAGAAGCCATCGTAGATCATTTCTTCCATGTGAATGTTAATGACATCTCGAATCAATCCGGTGCATTTGTATCCAGCATCCGTGCTGGTGGCAAATCCCGCCGCACTGGCACTGACCACCTTGCCATTCCCGACCCATTCCAAATCGCAGTAGGGATTAAATTTTTGGACCCGTTGATTGATGAGCCATTGTTGTATGACTTCAATCGCATAGGCACATTCTCCATTGTGCAATCCCTGGTACATTTCTTCCAATGTCTTTTTGGGTTTTCGAATGGCATCCGGAAAGAGTTCCTTGACATAGGTGTCCGCATTAGTTCCTTCCCAGGTACAAATGGGATACTCAAAGACGACGGCTTCTTGCAAGGATTGTATGACACGGACCTGGGGCAGTTGATTTTCTACCAACAAAGAAGCCAAGTTGGCCGTATAGGTGGCTGTTAAAATCAAACTCCACAGCGCCATGCTGAAACAAAAAATCTTGGAAGGCGAGCCCTTGGGTGTCCCATATTCGTAGGCTTGTGTGGCATTGATGGCACTCTTTTGAAATAAATAAAAACAAGAATACGACCAGAGCATTAGTGATGCGTATGTCATCATCATATAGCATCACCAACAATAGTGTATACTACACATATAGCATCACCAACTAGTACATATAGTACTTACCAAAAACAAATTCTCCGTCCACCATGCCAATAGTTTCCGATCGCCCCGATTCCCGTTCAACCATTCCAATATTTGAAATACCAGTCCGGACAAGAGAATGGTTGCTAGAGTGGTCAACCACACTTCCCAGGAAAACGGCTTGAGCCAATTCCAATAATCCGTCACGGACAATTTGCGTGTTGTGGCGGATACAGTTTTTGCTTGTTTGCCAATCAAGATAATGCTCGAATCGTACCATTCTTGGGTAAAGGCGGCGCCTCGTTCCAGTCGTTCCAAATTCCGAGGCCACCAATCTACTGACAAATCGTAAGCATGAATGCCCCACTCCAACAAATCCGTCCAAGTTTCATTGTAGGCTTCTCCCTTTGCCTCCATGTTAATTCCAAACGAATTGCGCCAGGTGAATCCAGCTCTTCGAGCCAATTCATCTAATAGTACAGCGGCAATTCCCGGATAGACGGGATCAATGCCTTCGATGCGCGAGTATCGAAAAAAGGAATCCTCGTAGGCTCCCACTAAAATATTCAATTGCCTGCCCCTCAGACTCTCCTTGAGTTCCGTGGTCCCATTTCGTATCGCATCGTACAAATCACAAACGTCTTGACGGTGGGAGACATTGGGTGTCATCTGGGGGGTCTGGAAAAAGGCAAGTTCACCGCCAAACGCTGATGATGATGGTTGGGCCACTGCAACATGGTGCTTCTGTGGAGTGAATAAGGATGATGATAAGACAAGATAGTAATAGAGGGTATATCGTAGAGAGAGTCTACTATATAGTTGCGAGACCATCATTTCCTATAGGTATAGTCTCACAAACAGGATCTGTATACCTATACTATCCTATCGTTTGTATAAAAAATATATCAAAGGTGTTCAAGAGAGTACAGGGCGAAAATAAAACAGGTCATGACGCAGCGGTGCAAATTTCTGACCGTGACACTGGAAGGAAGTCGTTATATGTACCGGTACCCCACTTTTCATAAAGTTATTATAGGTAAGCATAATATATAAAAAAGTTAAACGTACGTGTTCCTATCGAAGATAAATGACTTCTACGACTCGTTCAATAATTTTGGGGGAGGTCATTTTGATTTTGGGAGTCTTTTTCAGATGGAAAATATATATTGACCGCGAGAATCCTTTTCTCCGGCATTATTATTTTATTGATGTCGTGGTGCGGGAAGGAATTGTAAAAGACTCATCATCATCTACCGGTATCATCATACTCATCATTCCAAGGAAAGTCTCAGCGAAACGACTCACTTGTCGCCTCATCTTATCGCTTATTAGCTTACACCAGAAAGCACTGATAGTTCGAAGAATTAAAGTATGACAATAAGACACAACCAACGGAGGTCATCTGCACCAATCTTGTTGCTGCTGGTACAACCCCTGCTCTTGCTATTATTGTCGACTCAAATCGAGGTCGCACAAGCCATTCATAACAACACGATGGAACTTGTGGGACGAGGGAGTTTTGCCGAGCTAGACATGGACAAAGAAGCATGGTGGACAGATCATCCAGCCTATCATCGCATGTTATCGGTAAGGCAAACCCATTTCCATTGATTGAATGGATAGCCCGGGCATCTATATTCATTGACCACACCACCAACTAAACGCAATTGTATTCTTTTACACCTCATCTCTCTCTCTCTCTCTCTCTATCTATCTATATATCTATATATACATACAGATTTCGGCCGCTTGTGAATCTGCCACTACCAATTTGAATGACCGAGCTTCCTTGAGCAACGAATTTCAAATCATTCGTGATTTTGCCATTGACATTGCTGCCAACCGTCAATGCGACCAGTTTTCCGTCAGTCAAGAGAATACCAAACTGGTGTGCACGGTCGACTTTGGGAATGCGGTCCATGATTTGCAAAACATTTGCAGCAATGTCTATGGTGCCATTTATTCGCTATCCAATTATACCTACCGGTGCGACAAAAACACCAACGAGGATTTTTTGGTGTACAATGAACTCAATTGGCCCATGTGCGTCGCCCCCGTGTGTGGTCAAACCGGATGGCGGTCCTATCAAGTGGCGGGGGCCGAACAAATTGGATCCTGGTTGCAAAATCAAGGATATGCTGATTCCACCTGCGAACGCTTGCGACTGTTACCCCAGTTTGCCACCCTGCCCGAATCCATTCCCACCACTTGCAGTGCGGATACGGACCAAATCATGGCCACGGTGGACGCAGCCACTACGGGACTCGCATCCCATCGATCCACCCAGGCAATTTCGTGCACCAATCAAGCCAATGGGTTTCAATGCAGCATTGATTTTTCGCTCTTTGATCATGGATTTGAAGCACAATGCGACGACAATACCAGCAATCGGGGAATTTACATTGAAATTGATTATTCCCTGTCGTGTACCAAATCTGGTTCGAGCCTCACCCTGCAAGTGACCAATGATCCCTTTTGTCCCTCCCAGGTTCTTTGTCAAGCGTCGGAATACGGCACGGAAGCTGCCAAGGTTCGTCCTCCGAGCATGATTGCTCTCATGGCAACGGAAGGGTATGCGTGTACCTACAACAGTGACATCGTCTTTGAAGATTTCAAACGGTCGTTGACGCCCACCAATTCGGCAGCACCCTCGGCCAGTGCGGCGCCTTCTTCGGTTCCATCCGTGTCCACTCGACCGTCCCTTTCGTTCGCGCCCAGTGATGTCCCGTCCTTGCAAGGGTGCAGTGGGGCCAGTGCGGACCTCATGACCCAAAATCAAGTCGTCCGACAAGCCATGGAGAATATTCAAACGGAGCTGGACAGTCAACCTCAGACTTCGTATTGTACCAACAACAATGGTCAAGTCTTTTGCGATTACGATTATAATCCGATTGACCATACGCTCGAAAAAGATTGTGCTGCAGAAGGTGGGACCTACTTGGAACATACCTTTGAAATTATTTGCACCAAACCGGCAACGGGTGAAGAGACAGTCACCCAACATATCGATCGGCCATTCTGTTTGGATCAGCGGTGCGAGTATGTGGAAATGAGTGATTTCATTCAGCAACACTACAAGAGTGACATTCCCGATGCCGATACCCTCTGCATTTCCTACGAGCTCCAAGAATTGCTCGTGGGAGGCAGGTCCGACGTTGCTGCCATTCCGGTCAGTGCGGGATGCCAATATGAAGCCAATCAAATGTCGTCCACCACAGCCATTTTGAATGCCAAGGCATTGATCAAATCGGAATACGAAGAGTTTGGCAGTAAGGAGATTCGTAACTACTGTCCTTCCAAACAACCGGGATTCTTGGAGTGTGACTTTGATTTCTCGTCGTCTATTTTGGATATCACCAACAACTTGCGAAATGATTGCCCTGCCAATGGAGGACAGTATTTGACCAGCGCATTTACAGTCGTGTGCCAAGATCCAATTGATCAAGTTGAAGTCACCTTTAATGTCCGCAATGTTCCTGGATGTGTCGGATACTGTTGTGAACCCGGAGAATCCAGGACGCTCATGGAGGCCGAGCACACATGGTTTACCGATTACTACATTATTGATCGAGGTTGGACTTGTGGCACCATGGTAATCAATACCATGTCGACACCTAATTTCAATGTCGATTCAGCCTGTGTGACACCTGCTCCTGGTGTGATACCAACCATGGCACCCGTCGTGAATCAAGGTGGCGACGATGGCGACTGTACTGATCATCCCGTTTGGGGTTGCTACAAAGGATTGGTCCACCCCTTGTTCGATGGTGTCTTTACTCCTCAAACAGTCCCCACCTTTGCTCCCACTCCTACGGCTTTGCACTTTGATAATTTTGTGAATCCGTCACCCGGCTCGGAGCCTTCTGGAAATTCCAATCCCACCGACACGGCCAGTACCGACGAAGGTGGTCTCGGTGGCGGGGCAATTGCTGGTATCATCATTGCTGTGCTTCTACTCCTGTGTGCTATGTGCTATTTGCTCTTCCGTGCGGTTCGCCAGCGACAAGACAAGGAGGAAGATTATGATAAGGAAGGTGACCAATCCGAGCTTGACTTTAACGATCCAGAAAATCAAGACCCCCGCCAACCGGTCTTTGGTGATGAAGAATCTTACCCGGACCCTGATCACGATGAAAGTACCACCGACCCCCATGGTGATGACCAATCGTACGACACTCGCGATTGGGAGGCCGACGAGAGCCAAGGGTTCTCCGATGACAATGATGCTAGTACTAGCGAGTACACTGAAGGAAACGATGATTCTCCAGACTCGAGATTCTCGATTGATGAAGATGACGATGGTGATGACCATGAGGATGACTCGTCTTATGAAGACGATGATGATAGGACAGATGACTATACCGAAGACAGCAATCGTCGGTACACATAAAGTTTAGGGGCTCCAGGTAGAATAGTTAAAGTGAATACAGTAATGTCAAATGTTTATTCAATCGGCCCTCTTGTAGCCAAAGGGTTTCGTAGTAGGCTTTAATCATCATGAAGTGAAAATGATTCGTTTGTTGCTGAATAAGAAATGAATGGGGATGCAGGGTGTGGTCACAGACAGATATTCCTCGCCTTTCATGTATTTTTTTCCAGTGCGTCGTCTTTGTCTTCAGTGGCGAGGGGGATAGTAAGAGTGGAATGGGCAATGATTTCTCTTTAGCCGTCATCTTTAAGCCGAAGGTTTCTTGTTTTGGGTCTTGCGAGAGGCAAGTGTGACATGTCGAGCCAACTTGTTCAGTTCGGCAGTAGGCTCGTGTCGTTTTCCACTGGAGGAACCAAGCTGTTCCATGGCTGTCTGAATAGTATCTTTGGTTTCCTTGTCATCGATGATGAGGATGGCCCTAGTGACCTTGCTCTTGTGAGAACGCAAGGTGCGCATACGATTAAGTTTGGCAGGTTGGGCAAGTTCACCATCCTTCTGAGAGGCAGAACTGCCATCCGAAATAGTCTTAAGACGACGAATACTGACTTCAATATCTCTCTTTTGTTGGGCAGTATTGTTTGGTGCGTCCTTTGCCTTTTCAAGTTCGACAGTCAAGCCTTCGACGAATCGTTTGAACACATGGAGAGGAATGTTTTGTCGTTGGACTTCAAGATCGGCCTCGCGGTCTTCAGCACCAAAAGCATCACTTTTGATATACTTTTCGGTTGCCCAAATCACATAACGTGAATGGATGGCAAACAGAAGGCGGATGGGGAAAAATCCCTCAAAGTGTTCTCCTTGGTGGTAGACCTCGCAGGTTCCGTCAGTACGCCAGTGGTATCCAAAGTTCTGAGTCATACTCCAGAGCTTGAACCCACCCAAAAAGGAAGGAGCAAAGTCTTGAAAGCTCTCTCTCTTGTTGAACCACGACATGGTATCTGTTTCACCATCACCAGTGGTATCAATTTCCGCTTCGTCGAATTCAATGGAAATTTCCATTCCCCCCGGACCCATCAATCCAAAAGAATGAATGGTCCCGTCGTCACCAAATTCCGCATTTCGCATCATGAAATGAACCATGAATGGAAAGACACAAAAGAGTTCCATGAAATCTTCTGTTCCATAGAAATCTGCCAAGTCCTCTGGCTTTTTGCGTGTCACAAACTTGTGTTCAAAGAAGTTATCAGCTTCGCCAAAGGTATACTGCAAAGCTCCCATACCAAGTCCGAAGGTAACAAGGCGTCTCCAATTTTGTTGGTGGCGATGGTGTCGTTCCAGGACATTGATGACAGCTTTGGAAGCAGTGCTTCTTTGTTGGACTGCACTGCCAGCACCAAATTTAGTAGTAGTTCCTACAGTGATAGGAAGCCTTCGTGAGGCAGTGAGTAATGAACGGCGTGCGTTTGTGGATAGTAGCATCTTGAGATTGGCTGAGTTTCTATTCAAAGTTCTTGCAGGAAGATATGCTGCAAATGAGAATCAACCAAAGAGGTGAATAATGTTGATGCGTTGTTTATCAATCGTTTTTTCGTTTTTGTGACGTTCGGATTTTGCTTGATGTTTGAAGGTTGCGACCCAAGATTCGTTTTGAAACCTGCACCATTATCTTGTCACCACCACTATTTTATATTTAAAAAAAATACTCATTTTTTAAAATAAAATACTTATGTATTATTTAACGCAGGAGTTCCAACTGCTTCCACACGATCGAACGTGCCATTTTTGGGTGTTCTCTTGTTTCGCACACCTACTTTCTCATTATTCCTCCTATGAGAACATCATCCTAGCATATTCCTGTCTACCGTTGAGGTGGTATGGTACCGGTACCTAGTGACTACTATCTGCAAGAGACCAGCATGAAAATTATATTCCTTCATCTCTTCCAGTTATTCATTGTTCCTTCTTGATAGAGAACTGACTGACTCACTCTGGCTGCGTTTCTATTACATTATAATTTTCGTTTTGTAGTTTTTTACCGCTCTTGATGAGGGAGAGCTGACTCTCGCCTGTTGCACCTTTTTTTTGGGGGGGGGTGATATGAGCAATGCATCTGCCGTTTAGCTATTATTGGTTGATTAATTTCTTGATTGTGTGGTCACTTTTCTTGGTCCACATGCGGGGCAACCATTCGATTTGGTCGTTAGGATTAAACATCCTCGGGGGCTATCCGATTATTTTATGTTTTGGCGACGGATCAGATGGCGGCATTGACACGGGCACCTGTCTTCACTACTCATTCTTATTGCTTCTAGCAGAATGCATTCTACCTTATTATTTGACCCTGTAAATCGCTGCTGTCTGTTACTCAACCAACGTCTTGTCCTTGTTTCTTCCTTCAAAGTATTTGTCATGATCGTACGTGTACGGTACATGAGTACGATTAGTTCGGAGCCTAATCCGAAGTACCAGTACGTCCGGGTCACCAAAATATGCGTACGTCACATCAGTATACTTCTCAACTTGGAAATAAAAGTCTAGAGACATTTTTGTTGTTTCGGTGCTCGCGGAAACAATATAGTAAATGCCAAAATTGAATATACAACAAGGAAGAGATTGCAAACATCCAACTTATTTCAATGGCCAAGAAACTCCATTTGGCTAGCCTCTTCTATTTGGCTTCAAACTGGCCTGTAATTTCCGGTTTTTTGCAATCAAAAGCTCCCGTTCATGCGTCATGGTCATTGGATGGCAAAACGAGTCAACAACAACTTGGTCACTCCTCGAGACAGTTCCAATTGAATCTGGTCCCAAAAACCAAGGAGGAGACTGCCTTTATTCGAGAATGCCTGCTTGAAAATGCTTTGTTTTCCTCCATGTCAGAGCTGTCGCTTCAAAATCTCATTGAAAATTTTGAAAAGGCCGAAGGAGGAAAGGGAGAAGTCATTACAAGACAGGGGGAGCCTGCTGACAACGGTTTTGTCAATTTAGTTGCCGAAGGAACATGTAAGGTGTTTGTTGATGAAAAGGAAGTACCAGAACCCTTCAACATCCTGAAAGCTGGAACTTGATTCGGCATAAGTGGGGTTTTGTACGGAGGGGCCCGAGGCGCCACTGTCCAAGTCGATTCCATGACGGCTTCATATTATCGGATATTGGGTTCTACGTTCAAGCAAATCTTAAATGCACCAAGCGAGCAGCTTGCATCAATGCAAGAGATGGATGCTCTGGTCAACCAGGTTTCCGGTACTTCACCGTTATACCAAGGGGAGATTATTATGGAATACAAACCTGAGAGACTTTGGTTATGGCAACAATACTCCGGCACGATACTGCAGTTCAACGTCCAGACCACCTTGCTGAACATGGGGGTATGTGCTCTGTTCTGCATCTTTGCAAGAGAGGCCACTGGGCTTCCATTTTTCGAGGAACCCAACATGGCTGTGCCTTTTGTGGCTCGTCTCCAACTCGTCCACGAAGTTTGGAACTACCAGACTGCGTTGACAACCTTTGTTTTGACTTTCTTTGTCAACCAAAGCTTTAGCTTCTGGAATGAGATTTACATGCTGACACGGGACGTCCAAAACCACATCAACAATTTCAATTTGGTCGTCGCGACTCATACGAAACGTGACAAGAAAAACGAGTACACCAAAGAAGCTGTTCAGCTCCTTGAAGAAATTGGTCAGTTTTCGCGGTTGTATCACATTTTGCTGTGGGCGAGTAAGGCTAAGCGATTCCAAGCATTATCTACGCCAGAAGGACTGAGTCGAATGGAGAGTCGAGGATTGATGACAAGTCGACAGCTGAAGGTATTAGAAGAGCTGACTGTGGCACCGAATCAATTGTATCATGCACCACTGGAGTGGATGGTTATTCGGGCGAATCAAGCTATGGACAAAGGGGTCTTAGCTGACGAGGACGCCGTGAGATCAGCCCTCTTGGCAGAAGTAAGGTCCATGAGAAACTCTGCACGTGACATTTCGGACAAATTGGAAGGTCGGATGCCGCTTGCCTATATGTCCAGTTTGTCCAGATTTTGGTTGATACCTTTGTGTTCACATCACATTTCCTTATTTCCAGATTTGGGAGAGTTTTCAGTGGCTGCGGTAGGTATTCTTACTCTATTTTACACAGGCCTGAACAACTTGGCCAAAATCTTCCTCGACCCGCTCAACAACGAAGAATACTGTGAAAATTCTATGTTCATGAATTTGGGCGTGCTGATTAGAGAGACCAATGCCGTATCTACGCTATGGATGAAAGCTGGCAAGGAACTTCCATTTTAAAAATCCAATCTCGCCATCATAGTTTAATGCATCATTTGTCACAACCTTTCATTTGAACAATACCTGATATTCTAGTCTCGCAACATCCATGTTCTCCTATGATAGTACTAGTTGCTAGCTTTATCGGGGTGGCGATTCCCGAGATTGATTCAGCTCATTGGGTCATCTGACACAAGTGACGTTGAACGCTGGGTGTATTGCCATGCCCTAATCCGTTATGAATCAAGCAAAAAGATATCGCTCACTAAAGTCGATTTCCATTGGGTCTCAGCTATCAGAATCGTACAGACTTTCGATGCGACTGGATCAATAAGTCTGTTCCTCCGCTCTTACTTTGCCACGGTGAATAGTTGCTTGGTTCCCTCCACCACATCCACATATCCGTACCATCCTTTGGGCAAAGCAATGGTATCTCCTGCCTCGCATCGTCGAGCCTCCCCAGTTTGACCGTTAGTGATAAACATGACACCCTCCAAACAGTAAACCCATGCACGTCCCCCTTGTTGGACTTGGTATGTGCTTCCAGCAGGACTACTCCAGACTCCAACTTGAGTAGGACCCACATTGTAAAAGACCTTAGCGGATGGGGCGGCGCCATTACTGGATTGCAAGAAAGGTCCAAAAAGAGGATCAGCAACGACAGCTCCATCATTGTCCAAAGGCAATGCCGCTAGCAGTTCTTCATTCCAAGAATGGTAGTGATCGACTTGAACACGAACAGGAGATCCAGTCTCTTCAATATTAGCATGGGCTGTGTATGACGTGATCAATGCAGGGAAAACATTTGAGTAATAGACAAATTGTTAGTACTTCTGCGTTCAGAACGACAGGGAATCCTAGAAAATCCATCACCCCGAAGTACTAGGTAGTTCAATACAAACACTAACAACATACCATTGACAGCCCAAACCTTGTGGATAGGTTCGTAGACATCCCATCGTCCAGTGTGTCCCTTGGGAATAATCACATTGTCACCTGGTCCAAAGTAATGCTCCACGCCATCGGCATCTGTCAATTTTCCATGTCCCGACAAGACCCAAAAGACTTCGGTCGCTGCCTTTGGGTTGGGGGATTCCCATCCACCATTGGTACAAAACCAAGCCCCTACACGCAAGAGTCCATCGTCGCATAGTTTGCGGGTGGCATCGGCTGGGGCACCCCAATCAAATGTTGCACGAGGTCCCTTGGACACCAGAAACGAGGTATCGAAATAGTCGGCCTTGGCAAAGGGAAACGAGACGGAAGCCTCCTCGGAAGCAACTGCAGTAGATGCTTGTCCGTTAAAAGGTGATGAAGGAACGTTGGTGTAAGACTTTCCCGAAAATCCATAAGATGCGGGCTTTGGTTGGGTAGCGCCGCCGTTGGGATTCATCATGCTGTCGAGGTAGGATGACAAGGAGGTCGTCGTCGTGCTGGTAGTCTTGTCGTGCCCAGCAGAAGGCGAAAAGGCAGTGGCGGCTGCCATATTGGAAGCAATCACCAATAGCAGGCAAATGTAGAATCTCATGATGTATTGTTTCAATCTTTGGATCCCGAAAAATAAGATTCTCGACAGATCATCATGCGATGACGTTTGTCTGACAACCAACCATTCAATCGATTCGATTCATTCATTCAATCGATTCGATTCATATGATTTGGAATTCGAATCGAACAACGAAGCACAGACTGATATGGCATTTTCAAATTTTATTTTGAAAATTGATGATTTACTGTATCTCGAGAGATAGAACTCTCCGTCAACACCATAGCATCTCAATCAATAATCTGTTATTCTACCATCTACAGTACCGGCATTAATATATCAAACAAGCTCTGTAAATTCAGCCTGCATCATGAATATTGAAGCTTTAATGGAAAACTTCTTTCAACAGAATGGACGGAGGGGACAGATTCGGATTCTAAAAACCATTTGCGATCTGAAAAGGGACAAGCAATGAATGGTCGCCGCGTGATGGTGGTTGGTTTGGATCCTCCTTCGGTACCTCATAGTAATCGACGCATTCATGTCAAGTTGTTGGATCCCAATGATGATTCCAAACCAGTCGGGAACGTACTTCAAATCAAATCCAAGAACCTAGTAGATCCCAGGTCCTACTGCTCGGCAACACCAGAACCTACCCTATCCAAAGACGAAGCCCTAAAATACATACAGCAAGCATACATACAGCAAGCATACAAAAATGGTCTAGACCAAGGTCATGATAAGATGCTCGGAAGCGAGGACCAGGAGGCTCGTGACCGTCCCATGCGCATGAAATTGATCAAGGAAAAGAAGTATCACCTGCCAGTAGATGATCAGCAGCCTAAAATTGAATGCATGGACCCTCTTATTGCTCCCAACAAGCAAAATAGCTTGCGAAATTTTCAAATCAGCCATCACTCCTGCCTGTGTAGGTGATGGGTATGTCGACTTTTACACGATTCGGAGAATAAGGGATTGTTGTTGCTGGTGAAACGATGGAGTGATCCATTTGCCAGGAACCGATTCAAGACGATCTCATTCGACTTCCCTGCAACCATCGATTTCATCTCAAATGTGTCAAACCATGGGTAGTAGAAAAGGAAAACAACACGTGTCCTACCTGCCGTCATGAACTAGAACATTCATTGGACACTTATGAATTTTCCGACGCCTCTCAACAAATTCGGAATCGATTTGATGAATGGCTCATCTTCATCTCGGGCATGTGCGAGCGTTGCCAAGCTGTGAATATGGAAGGTGATCCAATTGTGACCGTAACCAATGTAACATGGAACCGAAGTTACCATGCGATTGAGCATCGCCAAATGTCATGGATATTCAAAGCACAAAAGTGTACAGGGTCAAGCAACGGACACGGTCAACATTCTGTATAGCTAAGGAGTTTCAGGCTGGGGTTGCGATGAATGATTTATTGTAAACAATGTAGACAGAGAAATCAATAGGTGGTCGTATATCAGCATTGTTTCGGTACAAAGGAAGCAAGTGGATCTAGACAAGGGAGATGGCTGACAACGACGAAAGGAGAACCGAATACCAAATATTGTCATGGTCGATGTAGACTTTGAAAGTCTTCGCAACAGCTGCAATTGGGGTTCTGATCGGCGGGCAAGACCCCATGTATTGAGCAATCAATCAAAGAAGTGTTATAGTATGGAATCGCATAGGAATTTGTCCTCTCCTTGCGCATCGGCAATTTGATCCTCAGTTTGTTGATATACATGTGTGGATACTAGACGTAAATTGATGATTGTATTTTCTCACATAATCAGTTATAGGCCTAGGACTATATTATAATATTATATCATTTAGATTATCATTATTATTATTATTTATCCTAGTCCTACCTAGCACAATGGACGCAGCTTCTTCTGTTGATGATGTTGATGAGCATTCGTGCTGTCTTGCATTGGGACCTTCTTTCGTTTCAACTTCATCAACCCTGCTGTCTTGTCAGGAGTTCCGCCATGATAGGATGAGCCAGTCTTGTTCTTCTCTTGACTCGAGGACGAGGATGCATTGGAATGATTATTATTATTCAGACTTGCTTGAGCTGAATCACCCGCCACAGAACATGCTCTGCCGGAAGCACTCTGCTGTAGTACTTGTTCTGCACGGGTAATGGGTTGCTGTTGCCTTGCATTATTCCTGTTCATGTAGTAGTAGTAGGGTGCCAAAGAGGCGTGGAGCCGACGACGAGATTCCTCTTCTCGTGTTGCCAATTGGTGATAGGCAAGTTGGATTGAGTTGTATTGATTTTGGAGAACAACGTATTTGTTTTTCAAGGATTCCAGAGTGGCTTCCAGCTCTTGCCGTTTCATTTTGCCTTGAGCAATTTCTTCCTTCAGTTGGCTAATAGTTTGTTGCTGCTGTGAAGAATGAGGCATCATAGAGTCTTCGCCATAATGAGCAATTGCTGGCATTCCAAAGTACTTGGATGTAGCTTCCTTGTCAGCATGATCCATACTGATGGAAATTAGATTCCAGAATTGGTCATCCTTCGTTGGCTCCAATCGAAGCCACTTCTTCGCACCAAGACCGAGTTTCGTAGCACAGAAATCATAATCGAGTATCCCACCATAATACCCTGGAAGAATAACTTGTTTCAACCGAGTGCAGAATTGAAACGCATGCGCACCAACTTCGGCCAATTCTTGATTGAACAGGGCTTCTTTTAGACCTTTGCAATATCGGAATGCGCGGCCTTGAATGTGGCGCATAGTTGATGGAAGCACCAAATACTCCATGCTGGCACAGTAGGCAAAGGCATCTGGTCCAATTACCTCGAGTCCTTCATTCATAATGACGTACCGTAATTTGCCACAGAATTCAAAGGCAGACTTGTGAATGCTTCGAGTAGTGGACGCAAGTCGAATGGATTCCAAGGACTGGCAACCAGAAAAGGCAGCTACTCCAATCTCTTGCAGCACGCCACCGTTGCTGCAAAACTGAACATATTTCAATTTCCTGCAGTCTTTGAAGGCGCCCTTCTCGATAACCTTGACGGATGGGTCAATTCGAGCTAGCTCAATATCCTTAGGAACCTTTTGATCGCCTCCCACGTAGACAAATACTTCCTTCATTGTGGTTTGTGGGTCTTTGCTTTTTTAAAATAAAATAGAAATCGTGTGATGTTATTATGATGGTCGGTCCCAATATTTTATGATCCAAGAAACTGACAATGAGTTATTGTGATTATGAACGTTGCAACGATAATTCATAATACCGTTGCTTCCTTGGAGATTATGCATCATCATTCCATATGATATATATAATTTATCCGTTTAGATACTTGTATGAAACGCATCAATCATTCAAATCACTTCACGACTTTACAAGAAAACTTGGAATTCATCGGAACCGCCGATTCATTCTGAGCAACGGACTGTTGATGATGATGATGTATGTGATGAGAGTGTTTTTGAGATTTTGAAAATAACGCGTGCGTGGCACTCAAAAGCTCCATGTCTCCAATCCGCCATCTCAATCGAATGAATCATACATATGTTCATGTAATACAGTGTACAGGTACTCGTACCAGTAACGGTAGGCAGGTTCAAGGTACCGGTACCGGTATATCACACCGTCGAAAGAAAAACAATGAAAATGGACCTCCTTTTACAATCCACTGAGGATACCTTTAGCAAGTGTACTGCTGGCAGCAGCTGAATCCATGTTTCCCTGATGTCTGTGCAAGAGTCCGCAATGACGAGATGGAAGTTCACATGCTCCAAGTTTCCGTTTCTCCATGTAACTTCCCAAAACTGTCGTACGCGTCTTGAGAGCGCGTCAAAGTTGCATCATCAACTTCCGAATAACAACATCACTGGTATTAATATATTAATACCCACCAGTATGGATCATGCATCCAGTCAACAACTTCCGAGTAACTACAGTATGTCATCATCGGATTGAATAGATGGGATACGTTCAACGGACGAAAATGGATCTTGTAACCAATCCTTTCGACCCAAGATCAAATTGATATCGAACAATAAAAGAACTGTGACACACGAACCACATGCAATCATGAATCGCTCCTCCTCAGGTAGTGAAGGGAACAAGCAAGCGACTTTGCATATTGTACAATCAAGATGAGATTTACTTCCATCCTCAAGACTGTACACGTACTGTTGATCATCAATTGGTGTCTGTTGATACACAATACGAAAGCATCGTCCACTTGTTTTACTGACGGAGATGAACTCAAAGCTGCCGTTCGTCAATTTGTCAACGATGGTTGTTCAGACGACTACAATTGCAACAATGAAATCGTACAAAAATATGGCTGGCCCATTGGATCCTGGTGCGTTTCCCAGGTCACATCCATGAGAGGAATCTTTCTTTTACAATCAGATTTCAACGATGACATTTCACCGTGGGATACCTCTTCCGTCACAGACATGAGCCGAATGTTTTACGACGCATCATCCTTTCATCTAGAGGACTTGTCATCATGGGAGGTTTCTTCAGTGACAGATATGAGTGAAATGTTCCGCCGGGCATCTTCCTTTAATGGAGACATCTCATCTTGGGACACTTCGAGGGTCACTGATATGGATTCCATCTTTGCTGGTGCATCATCCTTCAATCAAGATTTATCGACCTGGGATGTGTCGTCTGCGGAAACTTTGAGAGAAATCTTTTGGGGTGCCTCTTCTTTCAATCAGGATCTTTCATCTTGGAATACCTCCAGAGTCGTTTCCATGAAACGGTTATTCAAGGATGCATCATCCTTCAACCAAGACTTGTCACTATGGGATACATCCAACGTCCGAGATATGCGAAGCATGTTTGGAGGTGCGTCCTCCTTCAATCAAGACTTGTCGACCTGGGTCACGTCGCAAGTCACAACCTTTCAGGGAATGTTTCAAGAGGCATCATCCTTTGATCAGGATATTTCGTCGTGGGATACCTCCAAAGTCACGGATATCAGTGGAATGTTTCGATTTGCATCCTCCTTCAATCAAGACTTGTCCGCCTGGGATCTGTCATCGGTTCAAAATATGCAAGAAGTCTTTCGTGGTGCATTGTCGTTCAACCAAGACTTGTGTTCTTGGGGAATCAAATTACTACCTGAACAACGACAACAACAACATCAGCAGCAGCAGCAGCAGCAGCAGCAGCCACAAGAAATAACAATGACTGATATGTTTGCCGAGTCCGGATGTTACCTTTCGATGGACCCACATCTGCTGCAAGACAGTGCTGGACCTTTTTGTTCTTCCACTTGCAAGGAAAGAGTATGCTTCTACAATCATCAAGACTTGAAATCTGCAGTTGACTCATACTCCATGCTGCTGGAAGAAGAAGAATGCTCTAGAAGTAAATCAAGGAATAGCAACAATCCAGATTGCGTGCTTGCGAACGAGATCATTGGAACCTACGGCTTTCCAATTGGTTCGTGGTGCATATCCAAGAATGTTACAGATATGTCCTTCCTATTTGCCAATATGAAGACTTTCAATCAAGACATTTCTGGTTGGGATGTTAGTTCTGTTTCGACAATGGAAGGCATGTTCTCCTTTGCATCCTCCTTCAATCAAGATTTGTCCTCTTGGGATACCTCTCGAGTCACCGATATGCAGAGAATGTTTTGGGGTGCATCAGCCTTTGCTCAAGACTTGTCCTCGTGGGATGTTTCAAATATTCAAAATGCGGATGGCATGTTTGCAGGTACTGCGGCATTCTTGGACAAGTCTCAAGTGTGTCGCTGGAGCGAGGCTTGGAAAAACCTCGCCGCTGTCGACTGCAACGAAGAAGGCAGAACAACTACAAGTAGTGCAGCGATCACCTTCGCTTTGTACGGATGTATTCTCTCACTTCTGATAACAAGTATATTAATGATTTACTAATTCCACCAAAATACAATTGATCCAATATGAAAAAATGCAGCAACGTTGCTTATTGACTGTCCAGACGTTCCTAGATTATTGTTACACTATCTATGAGGACAGATCTTTAACCATTTCAATTCCTGTAAAAGATCCATGGGGTCGTCCAATCAAGAAACTAATGCAACAGGATGCTCTCTGTTCTTCTTCAAACCCAAATCGTGTGTAGAGTCGTTCCGCTGGATTTCCCTGCATGACTCCCAGTTGCAGTTTGGAATCACCCTTTTGGCGGGCTAAGTCTTCGGCCCATTTGAGTAGTTTAGTGCCGACTCCCTTGCCTCTTGCCTCTGATGTCACGGCCAAGGTATCAATGTAGAATTCTCCTTTTGCGGGCTTGTGCATGAGGGATTCGTCAAAGGTCATTTTTTGACCGAATCGTCGTCCCTTGCAAATACCTACCACCTTGTTATTGTATAACGCCACTCCATAGGTCTCTTTTCTCGTCACATCTTTTGTAGAATACATCGAATCAAACTCTTCTTGGGGAGATGCCGGACACCAAGCAAAGCGACAGACTCCAAAGCAACATCCTTTGCCAGTCTTGACAAAATCCGATTCAATATCTTTAGCCTCGGCAAAATACTGCCGAGACAAGGGAACAATCTCGATGAGCGATGATGATTCTTGTGGCTGTGATTCTTTGTCATCCTCGCCATTATTGCGAACCATGGTTTCGGAATCTGGTGCATTTGAAGCCATGCTGATCGTCTTGAGTTATTTTTCCTAATCTGTTGGGCTTTTGGTTTGACGTGTGTGGCTTATATTAATTGTTGTTGCGGTGATAAAGGCAACGACGACCGCATACAATATATCAAATGTGACTTCTTGAAACCTGCACCCATTCATTCGATCATTACTGTATATCCTCACTACATATGATAAATAGATGAGACGCGTGTGAGACATATTTTTCGGTTTCTTGTCGGACACCTTTTGTCCGATACTGCCTGACATCCATCGAATCATTTAAAAAAAAGCATTTATCAAAATTGCCTCCATCTCCAAAAGTCAGTGAGATGTAGGCAATAGAGTGCCGGAGTGCCGACCTTCGAGGTTGCCTCCACGTCAAAGAGAAATCAGGAGGATATAAGGATTATATTATATGCACTTTATGAATTATCGGTTTCTATGTAATGTATCTTTTGTTCACTTTTCCAAAAGTTCTTCAGGCCATGCTCATACTACGAGTTGAGCGGCCAAGACTCTGGTTGCCATTGCTGTTCTCTCAAAGTCTTTTCCTTCTTCTTCGAAGATTATTCGCAAGGCTGCAAATCGCTGCGTGCATTCCTCGAGAATAGATTCTTCGATCCAGGAACCCTGTAGAGCAGTCTCAAAGTGCGACTTGAGTTTCTTGAACTGTTTGGTGTTGATACCCAGTTCGAAGACGGCGTAGTTCTTCATGATGACACGAAGGCGTGCATCACCATCAACCACAAAGTTACTTTCCAAAGCAGATTTGATAAGGCTGCTCATGATAGCTGACAATCGTGACATGCTCATGTGGCCGAACACCATTTGCAAGTCGGCATCTTCGCTGATACTGTCGCAAAAGTTCATGAGGAGGAAGCCCATTTCACTTTCTCCACCTAGCTTCTTGATGAGGTTGGGCTGGGATTGGAAGGCTTGTTCTTGAATAGGTCTGCACATTATGTTTGCTTGTTTGTTGTTGTTATTGGTGGTTGTCTTTGCGTGTTGACTGAAAGTTTAATTTATGAGGATTTGAGACTGGTTTTGTGGAGCCGATACGATATATACGATGCATGTTGAGGTTGAGTTTGTTCGACATTATTCGGTTTTGAGTGCGGAGTGCCCTTATTCCTTATATTCAGTATGTAGGTAGAACACTCCCGAGCTTGTCATTTGGTACTCGGAATAAATGTTTTAGCCTCTGAAGAATGATTGTACAATGTCTGGTCGGCCAATTCACTCAGTTTTATTGCAGCATTCGGCATCTTCTCAACTACAGTGCGAGTACCAGGTACCCCCTCAAGGCCAGCAACATATAGTTCACTTGATCTATTCTACGATCACAAAGCTTCGCTCCCGTTTTCAAAACCACATGTATTGGAGTTTGAGGTATGACATGTGCTCCTGCATGAGAGTCCGTAGCGTACCTACCTGGAAGGTACTGTACCTGCCGGTATTCTTCGGAAAGAATGAATTCCACACAGTGCGGTTGTGAAATTATTTTCCCCTCCTTATATAGCGAGACGGAGAATTTGTAGTCGATAGAACCAGCCCTAGCTAGCTAGATCTTACAGTACAGTCGAGAGCGAAGCCGACCTTCGGGGGCTATTTGCTAATCTAACGAATGACGACACTAAGTAAGTTGGTTGAACCGACATTCTGCGGGGCTTTACATTTATTCCGAATACCACATTTGACAGAACTCGGGAGTGTTCTACATAATCAAAATATACGGTATAGAATTTAATAAGGGCATTCAAAACCGAATAATGACCAACAACAATCAAAACCTCAACATATGCATCGTATCCACAAAACCAGTCTCAAATCCTCATAAATTAAACTTTCAGCCAACACGCAAAGACAACCACCAATAGTAACACACAAACAAACAAACAAACATAATGTGCAGACCTATTCAAGAACAAGCCTTCCAATCCCAGCCTAACCTCATCAAGAAGCTAGGTGGAGAAAGTGAAATGGGCTTCCTCCTCATGAACTTTTGCGACAGTATCAACGAAGATGCCGACTTGCAAATGGTGTTCGGCCATATGAGCATGACACGATTGTCAGCTGTCATGAGCAGCCTTATCAAATCTGCTTTGGAAAGTAACTTTGTGGTTGATGGTGATGCACGCCTTCGTGTCATCATGAAGAACTACGCCGTCTTCGAACTGGGTATCAACACCAAACAGTTCAAGAAACTCAAGTCGCACTTTGAGACTGCTCTACAGGGTTCCTGGATCGAAGAATCTATTCTCGAGGAATGCACGCAGCGATTTGCAGCCTTGCGAATAATCTTCGAAGAAGAAGGAAAGGACTTTGAGCGAACAGCAATTGCAACCAGAGTCTTGGCCGCTCAACTCGTAGTATGAGCATGGCCTGAAGAACTTTTGGAAAAATGAAGAAAAGATACATTACATAGAAATCGATAATTCATAAATTGCATACAATGTAAATATAATCTCGCTAGAACAATCAATCACTGGTACGAGTTTCCTCAAGTGAGCCTAAGCTTTGGTATACCAAAAGGGCGATTCAAAGGTAGGAATATGAATAATGTAGGAGGATCAAGATGAAGTTTCAATTGGATGGTGAATTGGAGGACATTCATCACAGGGGTGGTTTTCGTATCGGTAGTTGGGCACTAGATAGAGTTCCGACCTTCGAGCCCTCGTTGTCATTCTTTCAATATTTTATTGTAATTCCGCAAGGTTTTGGAAAGGCAATGAGAGCGGACATATTTGTAATCGATCGAACAGCAGTGCTTCTTCAACAGTCACTGGAATGCCGACAATCGAGACAGTTGCTATTGGGTTTTGCATGAGCGCATAGTTGTGCCGGTGGCCTAGTCGCATAGCTGCTTTTCTATAGGCAATAGATTGCCGGAAGGCCGACCTTCGAGGTTGCCTCCACGTCAAAGAGAAATCAGGAGGATATAAGGATTATATTATATGCACTTTATGAATTATCGGTTTCTATGTAATGTATCTTTGCTTCATTTTCCAAAAGTTCTTCAAGCCGTGCTCATACTACGAGTTGAGCGGCCAAGACTCTGGTTGCCATCGCTGTTCTTTCAAAGTCCTTTCCTTCTTCTTCGAAGATTATTCGCAAGGCTGCAAATCGCTGCGTGCATTCCTCGAGAATAACTTCTTCGATCCACGAGCCCTGTAGAGCAGTCTCAAAGTGCGACTTGAGTTTCTTGAACTGTTTGGTGTTGATACCCAGTTCGAAGACGGCGTAGTTCTTCATGATGACACGAAGGCGTGCATCACCATCAACCACAAAGTTACTTTCCAAAGCAGATTTGATAAGGCTGCTCATGACAGCTGACAATCGTGTCATGCTCATGTGGCCGAACACCATTTGCAAGTCGGCATCTTCGTTGATACTGTCGCAAAAGTTCATGAGGAGGAAGCCCATTTCACTTTCTCCACCTAGCTTCTTGATGAGGTTAGGCTGGGATTGGAAGGCTTGTTCTTGAATAGGTCTGCACATTATGTTTGTTTGTTTGTTTGTGTGTTACTATTGGTGGTTGTCTTTGCGTGTTGGCTGAAAGTTTAATTTATGAGGATTTGAGATTAGTTCTGTGGATACGATGCATGTTGAGGTTGAGTTTTGCTGTAGACATTATTCGGTTTTGAGTGCTGAGTGCCCTTATTCAGTATGTAGGTAGAACACTCCCGAGTTTGTCAACTTTGGTACTCGGAATAAATGTTTAGCCTCTGAAGAATATATTAGTCCTACAGTACAATTCACGACGGCATTCGCTAGATCATCAAATAGCCCCCGAAGGCTAGCAAAATCAGCGTGTATCATACGACTGTATTCTACGTCCACCAACCTTGTTTTCAAACATACATACAGCACATCATAGGTATCTCTTTTGCTCCTGTATGAGAGTACTCGTACCTACTGTATGACCTATGTAGTGAAATCAGCCCCTCCTTATGTTCTTCCAAACCATTTCCGCATATTTACGATGGCGGAGAATTTATAGTCCATAGAACCAGCCCTAGATCGTGCAGTCGAAGGTGAAGCCGACCTTCGGGGGCTATTTGCTAATCTAAAGAATGACGACACTAAGTAAGTTGGTTGAACCGACATTCTGCGGGGCTTTACATTTATTCCGAATACCACATTTGACAAAACTCGGGAGTGTTCTACATAAAAAATATATATACGGTAGAATAAGGGCATTCAAAACCGAATAATGTCCAACAACAATCAAAACCTCAACATGCATCGCATCCACAAAACCAGTCTCAAATCCTCATAAATTGAACTTTCAGCCAACGCGCAAAGACAACCACCAATAACACACAGACAAGCAAACATAATGTGCAGACCTATTCAAGAACAAGCCTTCCAATCCCAGCCCAACCTCATCAAGAAGCTAGGTGGAGAAAGTGAAATGGGCTTCCTCCTCATGAACTTTTGCGACAGTATCAGCGAAGATGCCGACTTGCAAATGGTGTTCGGCCACATGAGCATGTCACGATTGTCAGCTATCATGAGCAGCCTTATCAAATCTGCTTTGGAAAGTAACTTTGTGGTTGATGGTGATGCACGCCTTCGTGTCATCATGAAGAACTACGCCGTCTTCGAACTGGGTATCAACACCAAACAGTTCAAGAAACTCAAGTCGCACTTTGAGACTGCTCTACAGGGCTCGTGGATCGAAGAAGTTATTCTCGAGGAATGCACGCAGCGATTTGCAGCCTTGCGAATAATCTTCGAAGAAGAAGGAAAGGACTTTGAAAGAACAGCGATGGCAACCAGAGTCTTGGCCGCTCAACTCGTAGTATGAGCACGGCTTGAAGAACTTTTGGAAAATGAAGCAAAGATACATTACATAGAAACCGATAATTCATAAAGTGCATATAATATAATCCTTATATCCTCCTGATTTCTCTTTGACGTGGAGGCAACCTCGAAGGTCGGCACTCCGGCAATCTACTGCCTATAGAAAAGCAGCTATTCGACTAGGCCACCGGCACAATTATGCGCTG